AGTCTAGGACAAGAAAGCACAGTTAGCCTTCATTTCAACACAGTGAAGATGCAGGGAGTAGGATAGTGTACTTAGGGTTTGGGACAAACGAGTTTAGAGCAGGTAAAAACACAGTACAGTGGTACATTGAAATAGATAAATACAAAGAAAGATTGTAACGGAGAATTGTGGGGAAAATATTGACGGATGAAGAAAAAAATAGATGTATTCAATGAAATATTTTACTACATATAAAGCATGTGTCTATCGTGTTTCCTCTTTTAAAAAATAATATAATAATCCTGATGTTTGATATTGCTCCTTTCACACTGGGAGGATGACTCAAATGAGGCAGCCAATTTCCACATTGTATATCACAAACAGCTATAATAATAATAATCCTTGCATTTGATATAGCGCTTTTCACGTCGGGAGGACGTCCCAAAGCGCTTCACAGAATATACTTTAAAGTGAATTGACTGTATATTTGTGGGCGAACGCGGCAGCCAATTGCGCACAGCAGTGTCCCACAAACAGTCATGGATTGAAAATGACCAATTTATTATTGTTTTTGTTTTTTTGGAGGGACTATTATTAGGCGCGTGGAGTAAGGAAACTTGCCCAAGGTTTCGCCCTGCTATGAAGTAAATAACAATTTTATTTTTGACAAGGACACTGGGAGAAACTCCCTACTGTTTTTGCTAGTGCCGAACCACAGCACGTTGAACAATGCAACACTTCCCCCAGCACTATATTAGAGTGTCAGCCTTGACTGTGAGTTCAAAGTTCTGACACAGCGCTTGAACTCACAACTTTATGAACCCAGTGACTGAATGAGCCAGGCTGACACTTACACTTCCCAACAGTGAACTTCTCTTTGGTACAGTGCTGCTTTGGTCTATTTTTATAAACTCTGATCAGAGCCCATCAAACGCAGGGATACAGGAGAGCATTCCAAGACATTTGGAGGTACTTTCAGTTGTTGGTTCTGCACCAACCAACCCAGATCTTCAGTTCTCAGGGCTGAAGTGAAGGGGTTTCATGCATTTCCCATCTGATTTAAATGATGCTCAACTGAGACACATTTGTAAATGGCGAAGTCACATTTGGAGGGCTATGTGCCAGTACTTCAGACACACATGTTGAAGGCATAACAGCTGGAGCCCCAACACCTCTGCGCAAGAACAGAGACTAATGGCTTCATCGAGCTGCAATTAAACTGCCTGCATAACATTGGAGAGAGGATCAAAACCTGTCTGTATTGTTTTATCTAAACGATCACCCACAACTTCACTGTAGGAGGAGAGACATCCTCCAGATGGGAGGTTGCCGCTGCCCCGGTGGTTTTGGCAGTGATGATCAGATTCCTCAGCAGTCATTCAGGTGACGCTGTGATCCCTCACATTGGTTGTTAATTACATTATTAAAGGTATCAGTAATTCCCTCTGTACAGATGTTTACACACGGTTAACACAACTCGGAGATTAGACTCCCATACCAGACATCGCTGGCAAAGCACACAGCAATTTTTCCTGTAGCTGCTTCTCAGAGCTTCATTAATATTTACACAAACAGAACGGTTTGACAAATTCTTTAATTTCAGTAGTGGCGGAAGATGCTTTTGAACGTGGCTACAGTTGTATCTCACAGCTGTATGTTGGAAAAAGAATATTTAATCAACGTCAGGAACAGACTGCTTTATCTAGTCCCAGTAAAGCCTCAAATACTTAAATCCATTACTAACTCCCTATTGGAACGAAAAGGAGGTTTAATTAGGAATCAACATACATTATGTGTCTCGCAAAAAAAAAAGGCATGATTGACCATGATTGATAGAATTATTTCTGTTCGGCATGAAGGAAAAATTAGCCCAGACGCTGTAGGAATTCACTGAATTAAATTTCTTTTTCTCTGCAGCATGGATTCTCGGCTCAGATAAATTGATCCACAATTGAGTTGGCATTTAATGTTGCACTCAGGGAAAAGGAACAGAGGAAGAAATTTGCAAGCTTTGCAGTTTGAGTAGGAAATAAGATAAAATAAATGGTCACCTTTCTTAGTTAAAAAAANTTATGGATTCAATTAAATGCCCTGCGTTATATTCTTGGCATATTTCTGGACAGGAACTGGATATTCTTTCTCTGATTTGCATACACTAATTGCTAATTCCTATTCTGCACTATGTGGTCACCTTACTTGATAAAATTCATAAAGTGCTCCTTAAGCAGAGAGCAATTATTCACGGACAGCAGGAAACAGTCACGACAATGTCAAACTTGATTTTAGGAACGGAAGTGCCTTTAACTGCTAATTTATCATTTTCTCCAGTTTTCCAAAATGATAAGTGAAAAGAATAAGGTTGAATATTAACATGCCAGGCAACTGAATTGCAACATAGATAATTTCAGACCCAAAATTACTTGATGAAGTTTAAAAAAAAACTACCATGTGGAAAACGGTTGTGAATGTTTGACTTTTATTCTGTATGTTTAACTGTATCAAACGAATAAGCTGTTGTATGATTCGTTTAACATGGAAATAGCCAGTTTAAGAGGTTTAATTGTTGTGCTTTGACTCACAGTTGAGCGTTGGTTAAAATAATTCAAATGGCTCCTTGCAATGTTGGTGCAATAATTATGGAACTAAAGGTAAATTGTCACAATAATTATGGAATTGAAGGTAATATCCTGATATTCCAGGGTACCTCTGTGTGCCACACTTGGGGTTTAAGCAATATTTTGAGCTGTGTGCGATTGGCTGCTGCATTTTGCCTAAAAATATACAGTAAATTCAGTTTACAACATATTCTGTGAAGCGCTTTGAGACGTCTCGAAGACATGGTAAGGCACTATATCAAGTGCAAGGATTATTATGAAATTGATCAAGCAAATTTCTTGTATTTTACAGGCTGGAGTAATGCAAAAGCAAAGTCCACTTGGCTAGAAAGAGTTTGTCTTCAAATCTTTGTGACATCTTTCACTCGTCCTTGCCACAGTCCTTCACCTACATCTAGAAGTACCTCGCTGCGAATGAGCACACAGAATCATAGAATTAAACCACACAGAAGAAGGTCATTTGGCCCATCGTGTCCGTGCAAGCTCTTTAAAAGAGCTGTCCAAATTAATCCCACTCCCCCACTCTCTCCCCATAGCCCTGCAAGTTTGTCCTCCCCAAATACATACAGCTTATTCTAGCAGCCTTCTCTGAGTATATTGCAAGCAACCTTGTTCAGCTTTAGAAGATCAAAATCTCCTCAATTAATATCCTAATATTCCAGTGTGCCACACTTGTAGTTTAAGTAGTACCTTGAGCTGTGAAGTCCAAAAGGGAGCAAGGCTTTTCTCTTTCCCCTCAAACTCCTCGTGAACTCCAGGTGTCTGCAGTGGGGCAGAATCATGCGGAGATCACCTGGAACTGAGAATTCAGGTGGACAATGTTTCAAATCTGAACATCACTTAAGTGAGATTTTTCTGTTGTAGAATGACACTTAGAACTGAGGTCAGGTATCATTTCTTCACACAGGGAGTTGTGTGTTTACAAACTTGTGGGATGCTCTGCTCTTGAAAACTGTAGAGGCGGAATCAGCAGGAATGTTTAGAGGAGAAGTAGGTAGACACTTAGGTAGTAGCAGTATTAAGGGGCATGGCAAAAGGGTGGGCTTCCTGGGGAACAGCACAGTTCAGCATGAAATACTTGAGAGCATTGCCACCATCCTCCTGCCCACAGCTCACACACACATCCCCACGTCTGCAGCTCACACACATCCCTGTCAGACAATCAATAGGTGGTGGTGCCATCAGTTGGAAGTGAAGAGCTTGAGCAGCATCTGCTTACCTCTCTGCTTAACAATCAAGGCGGATAGCAGGCTCTGGGATATATGAGTGTATGTGTGTGTGTGTGTGTGTTCACAAACACGGACTTGATATCTTTGCTCACTTAAAACATCAAAAATTCCGAAAGCAAATGTCCATCAAATAGTTGATGAAGCAACTCTGAGGCTTGGCATGATAGCTGCCGAAAGCCGTAATTTGGACACCCTGTTTGTAAACACACTGTCGTATACATTGGTCTCCACTTGATTAGTGTGTAGGGTGGTAAAATCTTAGTCTGCATTCAATGACCGCAAGTAGTAACACAAGCACGGAACTGCCTATTGCTAACTTGTAACTTTCTAAATATGAAGCCCCAATCCACACTGTTGTTACGCACAAAGGAAAGTTGTAAAAGCTTAAACAACACAATACAATATCATAAGAGGAATGTCTCCTTTTTAGGAGATGTGTCTTAACCCTCTAGAGGGCAGCAGTTTCAACAGCAGCTAAAAGGGGGAGGAGAGTTTGGAGCGAAGCTGTCTGTTTGTTTGAGTTTGGCCAACAGGGAGAAAGTGGTCTGGTGACAGCAGGAGAGCTGGAGTACACAACCCAGGAGGGGTGGAAATTCTCAGGGACTGCTTTTGATGTTCTGCAATGGCCTTCTCAACAAACAACCGGTTCGTTTGGAGGAATAATAGCTAGAGAGTAATAGCCGGGGAGTTGCAATTACAATGGAAAAATCCTGAGGAGGAGCCTCGAGAGGAATTTTGGCTGCAGAGAGCAGCAACAGGAAACCAGGGCTGGGCACGGCATTGGGTTAGGGAACAAAGTACTTGACAACTTGAGCCTGCGGCAGGGAAAGCTGCAGGCTTTTCTGCACCACAGGCCCGGAGTCAAGGATTGCAGGAGGAATAGAGACTTCATCAAGAATCCCATTTCGCTTGCGTGCAAAGAGTCTGAAAGTAACTCGGGAGCAAGACGGCGGTGCAAGTAAAGCTTCCCAAACGACTTTTAAGAAGGGTTTAACTTCTAAATTTACCACTCGGAAGATCTCTGCTTTCTCTGCACGCCCCATGGCGACACTTAGCAGCCGAACAGATCAGGAGGATGGGGAAGTGGACAATGGCAACACAAGTGGTACAGGTTCGCCAGTGACTTGCGACGAAACTGTGTCAGTGGCACTGAACCAGAATGCTGACTCTCCAGTGCGACATGTGGACTCGCTTCAGACAAAGCGCACAGAGAGCCTTACGTGACAAGAACGGTGGTTCCATCCAAAGAAGGGGTTTACGAGGAATCGGCCCACAATACAATCCAAAACCAAGCAGCGCAAGGAGCCGAAGCATTATTGGAGCCAAATGAAACCCAAGACCCTGACAATGACAATACAGTGAACCAGAACACAAGGTAGGTGGCAGTGGCTGACTCTCGGATTTCTGAATTTCCTGACTCGCTGAAATTCAGGTAAGATCAACTCGCATGTTGATTTTGCATTTAGCGGAGATTCAGTTTGTCTTAATTGACCTTGCTTTATTACAATCGAGTGTCCCGATACATTGAGGTGGTATCTGAGCAGGAGGCCCCAGTGTCTATACAGTAAAACACGCATAAGTGTGATCTGTATAAATCGTACAATCGCCCAATTCGTACATCTGCCCAGATCCCGTTCAAGAGTTTATATTCCATGCAGGTTTGATATAACTCATACTTTGCGTAATTCATATTAAGTGTATGATCCTAACTGATACTATTTACGTGAGGTTTACTGCACAGCAGGAGGCTCCTGTGTCTACACTCCAGCTGGAGACCCTGTGTCCAACAGATGCAAAAGAAAAAAGTTGCAAGGCTATGGGGAAAGAGCGGGGGGAAATGGGAATAATTTTTCAAAGAGCCGGCACAGGCATGTTGGGCCGAATGGCCTTCTTCTGTGCTGTAGGATTCGATGACTCTAAGCCATCTACAGACCTGCCTGGCTCAAAAAACTGACTGCTGAGACCACCGCAGAAGGTTGACTCGATTCGAATATTTTGTTGCCAAGCATTTCACACAAATCCAAGGAGCCCTCACTGATACCCCCCTCACCCCCATCACCCCATACACACACACACACTTACCACCCCCTACAGCCACTTACCCCCCGTCCTTTCCCTCCCACCCCCTCAAGGAAAGTCGAGATCAAAACTATTGAGTTGACCACCAATTGAAAAGTTAAGCTTGGCAACGATCCGCACAGGAAAATACAGTGGTGAATAGAAGGAAGCTGATGCCTGCAAAGGGTTGATGCTGAGGGGAAGCAAACCCTTGTTACAGGATGGGAGTGACCCTGACAATGAAGAAAACACGAGCAGCAGTGCCAAGTTACGTGTCTCAGTGTTTTAGGGATCTATGTTCACAAGCTTCTTGAATTTGATATGTAGTTGGGGCAGCAAATACAATTTAAAGCTGAATAATATAATGTAATTGTGTACAAGTATAGAAAAAAAAAGTTGCTTGTATATGTGAATATGTTTGCCTCCAAATACGCAGTCACTTCACTTTACAGTAAATCCTGCTTAGCCTTTTTGAGATGTCCTACCCACGTTAAAGGCATTATGTATAACATTTAAGGATTTAAATACAATTCATACAATGGGGCCTTATTTAGTCTTGTTGAGTTAATGACTGGCGTAAAGGAGTGCTGTTTTTTAAAGGAGTGCTCTGTGTCCTTGCCTCTATGCCTTCCTGAATTAGATTCAAAGGGTCATTGCTGTTTAAGGGATGTTACTGGTGAAGAATCCTTTGCCTCCAGTTTCGGTGCTTCAGAGCAACCAACTCACTGTGCAAAGAGCATTGAGGTATATGTGATAAGGCACCGTATGTATCAAGCGCAAATCTTATTATTTCAATCTAAGATCCTCGGATTATGCTGAATGACTTTCCGTTTGCAGGAGGGATCCGGTCCGTCTGGGCCGTCAAGAATCGGTAGCGACGACGGAGGCCAGGCTGCGGATGGAAGGAGTGGAGCTGAAGGAAGAGTGGCAGGATGAAGACTTCCCAAGGTGGGTTGCCATCTTCCACTGCTCAGGAATGTTTCTCAAGAATCAGCAAATTACAAATGTCAGTTCATGCAAATTGATTCAAATGGTAATTTGGGGATTTGAAGCCAAAAGCTACAAACATGCGTTTCAATAGAAGTTTCAACTGTGGATATTCTGCTGGAAATCTGTGTGATTGAAACCAAATTCATTCACGTTTTGAAGTGTATTTAATAGCATGAATAAATATTTCTGCACACTTAATTTGAGTGTTGAAACAGATTCACCTTTATCAATAGTACCAGGAAATCTAATGGTTACATAAGGGATAATTCGTATAATTGACTATTTGTGATCTAGGTACCATTACATCTTTGTGAATATCTTATGCATGTTTATATGTGGGACTCTTCTGTTTCTGTAGGCCACTACCTGAGGATGTTGGGATAGATATTCCCATTGAAGGAGGGTTGTTAACAGCTAATGAAAGAGAAAACCGACCTGGTAAGGACACAAAGAATTCTTCTTGGGTGCCAAAGTGATTTGGGGGATTTTGTACAAGATGTAGTCATAAGTGGTGAAGTGATTTGAAAAGCAAGGTTTTTAAGTTACCCATCTTAGTTTCTATGGACTATTTTAAGTGGAAAGGTACTAATCTTAAAATAAGTGCTCTAATAGCACGTAATATTGGTCTATACTTTAATTGAACATTGTTAATATTGTGCATTCTGTCGATTTGCATTCACCTACAATTACACTGTCATCGCATTTTACAGTGAAATCCTGTGAAGCACCTTGAGACGCTTTGACATCATGATAAGGCACTATATCAAATGCAAGGATTATTATACCTGAGGGAGAAGGGAATAGAGGTTTATGGGAGGTGGGTAGAAAGAGAAGATTAGGAGAGGTGAAGGCTCATTTGGAGTATAAAAACCGGCACAGGCTCAATGGCATGTTTCAAAGCTATACAGTCTGTATAATTCTGTGTGTTGTTTACTTTTACTGCCATCACTCTGGAACACTCTTCTTCAATCCCTCTGCCTTGCCACCTCTCTCCCCCTTTTCAAGTCCTGCCTGAAAACCTTCCTCTTCGACAGTGGCTCGGAGTCAGGTTTCGCCACTGTTAAGTGCTCTGAGACGCTACTCTGCGTGGATGGAGCTATATAAATGAAAGTTGTTGTTGTTCTGCCACATTTCATGTTTCTGAAACTATCTGTGGTCTACCCTAGCTTGGTCATACTTAACATTGGATCAGCCGCACTGTGACAACTGTGTGTTTCCTTCCTTTCAGCTGCCTTCCTTTGAACAGCGCAAGTATCTTATTCTTCATCTTTTCAGCATGCTTCCGCTTTGCCTTTTACTTTCAAGCTTCTTTTCCATTTACTACTACAGGTAGTAAACCACTGTTATGTCTGATGATCTGAAAACCTTTATTGAAACATAAAAAAAGCCTACCTGAGTAAATATATGCTCAAATACCATTTTAATAGATATGTGTTTCGAAAATTCTGTAATAGAAACAAGCTGCTCCTTGACATTCAGGTGTTTTATGTTCCCCAGTGTATCGTTGGTATTTCATAAAATCTGCATTTTCATAGGACTTGAAAAGCAGATTGTTTATTAAACTGAACCACAACTATTATCTTTGTATATGAGGCGCATTTGGCTCTTGAGTAGCTATGCGTCAATGTACAATGGAGCACGTGGATAAACAAATGATGGGACCACACCCCGATCTCTTTCTAAGTGAACCCGTGTTAGTATTATAACAGGGTTCTATCATATTTAGATTCTCGGTTTATCTCAGTTAAAATCAGAATGGATATAATGAGGAATGTCAACATAAGATGTGCCATTAGCCTGGGTGAGGTGGAGAACAGCATACATATTACTCACTCTGTGTTTGCAGACTTTTTGGAGTTCGCTGGAAATCAGAAACGGAAGACGAAGCTTGCTGCTCCTGATATTAGCTTAACGCTGGATCGCAGTGACGGCTCAATCCTTTCTGAGGACTTTGAGGAAAGTGCTGACATTAATGTTGATGACTTGGACACCCCCTCTGATGGTGAATCGCTGGAGTTACCAGAGAACAGTAATGAGTTTGAGTGGGAGGGTAAGGCAGCCCTGATCAATTCAGCTATTCTTACCTTGTTATATTACCACTCGTGTAGCTGCAGAAAAGCAAAAGGCAATTTTTGATTTTAATACAAGGTTAAAATCTGCTCATTATTAGCTAGGGATACAAATAATAGAACTGCCTCTACAGCCCGAACTCAGAGTACTTGTATTTGATTAGAGTATTTGGGCAGCCAGTGAATCTCTGACAAAGCTCTTGGGTCTCATGAAGCGAAATAGCAATGGGATTATTGGCAGATTTTGGTTGACTGTTTTTCTGAAACTCAGGATGCCTTGCCTTGGTGACTGTTGGTGTGTGTCAACAGCCAAAGGTTTAGTAATATGTATAAATGTCCTAAGTAGCTCCAGCAGTGAACTGCGGAATAATCCCAGTACAATTACTGCAACCTAGGAATCCGTGAAGTGCGGAGGTTAGAGCAGAATGTGTTATGAAGAAGTGTGGAGAATTAAACGTCAACAAACATAAAGGGTCAAATGAGATTTCGCTGAGAAGCATGAGAGTTTATTTGCTTGGAGGTAATCTACACAGGTAAACTTATCAAACTTCTGGTGTACAAATTTCTTTCAGCTAGTAATAGGAAGACCTAGGAATGTCACTGAAAACACTTTGTCTTTATTTCTTTGAATGCTACTGTCTTCACTGTCGTGGAAGGATTGTTGAGTAGTGACTAACCACGTGTTGGGAGCGAGCCACTAACATAGGCCATTTTCTATGTTCTTCCTTGGTGGTAAGGATACATATTCAAGACATTTTGAGAAATCACGAAATCAGAAAATGTTCTCCTTCTAAATCTCTGTCGGTGTTTTAAATGTCTACTAAATGATCACATGTGAATGGACTTAAAATTCAAAACTTTTTTTCGAATGAATTGATCGACATTTTTGCTTCCAATTTGTGTTGCGATCTATTTCACTACTTTCAAATTTTTACTACAAATTAAAGATTTAAGGATTTCCACAATAAAAATAAAAGGTAGGTGCAATAATGTTTTTTATATTGTATTTATAGTATCTATAAATCTGATACACATACCGTAAAGTAAGAAAGACATTTTTTTAAAGGGGAACCCACGTTACTTTTTCATACTGAGTGCTACAGGGGTTGGTAGCAGTTGGCTGGACTTGAGAAAGATATGAGATACTTATTGCCTAGCAGGCTTGCATGTCCTGTGTAATTTGATCATTAGTAACAATTTCCAAACCTAAGTCCAAATCATGGAACACTGCACCTTCTGAAATATAAGTGAATTAGAAAAAATATGTATTCCAATTCCCATATAAATAAATGATAGGAAAGCTGATATTTCATTTTAAGGAATTGCCTTTTCAAATATAGACATGATTTTTCCCAGTGAGTGTTAAATGTGTTGTACTAAATGGGCACCTAATTTGGAAGTCAGAGGAATTAAAGAACTGTGCACTAACGTGTTTCGGATCTTTGCAGATGACCTTCCAAAACCGAGCAAAACTGAGATAACCAAAAAGGGTGCTGCACTAATCTCGGAGTACGGTTCAGATGAGAAGGAGGAACGAAGGCAATGGCGCTTGTTTCGAATTGGAGAACAAGACCACAGAGTTGACATGACAGCTGTGGAGCCTTACAAAAAAGTAATCAGTCACGGAGGTAATGAAACTAAACAAATGACTTGAACGCACCTGAACTTTCAATCTCAGTATCATCAATGATGTTTCACCCATTTTGAGTTTAAATGTTTGTTTACAAAGTACAGTCACCGCACTTTACAGTAAATTCTGTGACATGCTTTGAGACATGCTGTGAGACATGCTGTGACATCTTCCTGATGTGAAAGATTCTATATCATGTATACTGTGAAGTGTTCCGAGACGTGCAAGGCACAGTATAAATGCAAGTTATTGTTGTTTATCAAAAGCAAGGATTTATTATTAATATTAATGGCCCATTATATAAAATTTGTCTTGCCTGGACAGTGATAACTCAAAGTTTTATCACTTTTCAGTTACTCCTTGGATTTTGTCATTTTTAAACCTTCTTTTGATTAAGAAATGTTAATGTTTGTTGCATTTCCCCCCGCTTCATCCCCTCCCCCCCCCCCCCCCCCCCCACAAACTCCCTCGCCTGCATCTAATGGATTCGGTTTTCAAACGCGGAAAGGCTGAGACTAAGTTGTGTGGAATTTCAACTTTGTGACTGCGAGCTCTGTGATACAGGACCATTGTGTACTGAGCATGCATATGTCATGGCCTCAGAAAGCATACCAGCAAGGAGAGGAAGTTACAAGATGCAGACAGTAACTGTTGTCTCCATTAAGCTAGTGTTCCGATCTGCTCTAAACTGAATGTTTAGCATGACAAGAGACAAGTGTCAGTTTACACTGTGTTGGTTGCATCTGGTTGGACAGCCTCATATTACAGATTGACCCTGTAATGGCAAGTGCGCTATAAATTCCTAAAAGCACAAAATAGCCTTTAAAAATTCACCAGATCTGTTCAAGCCCAAATATGAGCAAATTCCACCTAGCTTCGGAGAAACTCCTTGCGGTTGATTCCAGCCATTATTACTGGCTACACTTTGAGAAGATGCTGAATAATTGTATGCTACAATTGTGCTACATAACACAATAATGAGCAGGTTCCTTTGACGTAGATATTAAGATCCAGCAGCTGGCAAGTTCTGGTAGAGGAAGAAACTGGTATGCAACAGTCACTGGAAAATCGATAGACAGGATAACTAGGCAGATGGGTCCAATTGAAACTATTGAACATTTTGCTGCAATTTAGACATATAGGCGGGAGTGGAAAAAAGCCTAGAAGTCCATCATGTTCATTCCTCCTCCCCGCTCCACTCCATTCATCTGACAATATTCACCTACAGATCTCTCCTGGTTTTAGCCACTTGATCCTAGATAGTAAAACCAAATTGATGTAACAACCCTCTTGTTGTAAATCCTTTTGAGACAACAATCTTACATATTACAAAACACCACTAGAGACCAACATCTTACAGTGCTATAATCTGGTCTGCACTAATGGTGAATAACAACAGATTGGGCAGAATGGAAAAACAGATTTGTGACTAAATCGTCGTGCAGTGCATGTCAGAAAATTGCGAACATCAGGGTGAAAGCTTCACTTATTTAGCATCTTCAGCATCTATGTAATGGTTGGCTTAAAATGAAAGCTCATTGCTTCTTTGTTGCACAATTTGTGATTTATATTGCAGGTTATTATGGCGATGGATTGAATGCTATTATTGTGTTTGCCGTCTGTTTTATGCCTGACAGCAGTCAGCCAAATTATCAGTATATTATGGAAAATCTTTTCAAGTAAGTGCACATCTGTTAATGCTGGATTTTGTTCTAGGTTTTATTATCTGGAAAAATTTTGAATTGGTCCAACTTTCAACTTTCTTTGTGTATTTGGAGTTGAGTGTGTTATTTATTACTGCACACACACACATATATATATATATAGAGAGAGAGAGAGAGAACTCCTGTTCGCCGTAGCTTCACATTAGATTTTTTTCCCCAGTGGCTGTGCTAAGTCAGGACCCTTTATTTGGTTCCAGCAAATTTATCATTTACCATTGCTACTCCTAATGTAAAATTTGCTCTTATGGTTTTTAAATGCATCATGTACAAAATACAGTTACTACATTATATATTTCGCCCACAAAATCTACAGTCAATTCACTTTACAGTATAATCTGTGAAGCGCTTTGAGACATCTCGAAGATGTGATAAAGCGCTGTATCAAATGCAAGGATTATCATTATAATTTGCAGCATATCCTATGAAGTGCTTGATGATAACTCTTCGAACATGAAAGGCGCTATATCGGATGTAAAGATTAAGGATTATTTTACAGGTATTTCTAAAAATGTTGAGAATTAAAAATTGCGCTGTTCCAAGTGTCAAATTTGAGACTTTTAAGTTACACCTCTACCGATGATTTGATGAACCAGGGATACCAATTAAGTACCAGTACAATCAATCTTTCTCTGGGCACTTTTAAATCAGGCAATCAATGAATAAATGGGATATTACAGATTATAATGTACCCATTTTTCAAATTGTGTACATTGGTACTATAGAGTTTTCAACTGTTAAAACCTTTTGCTTTTCACTGAAAACAAATGATTTAGCATTTGCTTTCACCCAATTTGTCTTATTGATGCCATTTTGTACGGATGCCACCTGATCACAGCAGCTTGAAGACGGTACCTTTTCCACTGTTGATTAATTTATCTTATTTTCTCGACAGATATATAATTGCTACCCTGGAACTATTAGTGGCAGAGAACTACATGATTGTATATTTGAACGGTGCTACTACACGCCGAAAAATGCCAAGCTTTGGCTGGCTTCGAAAGTGTTACCAGATGATTAACAGGAAGTAAGTGTGGGGTAGCATACAGAAGACATATGGTTTTGCCAGGAATGGGTGTTTTTTCACTGTGTGGAGTAACTCCTAAAATGGGATTCTTTTAATTTTGTATAATTTTAGGTTACGAAAAAATCTGAAGTCTCTGATGATAGTTCATCCTTCATGGTTTATCAGGACTCTCCTGGCTGTCACGCGACCTTTCATTAGGTATTTTCCAAAATAAGTCTTATCAGTCCTGTACAGAATTGCGGTCGGGTTATGAAACTGTCATCTGTAGAATGCTTAACTGAAGCTTAACCAAGTGGAGATCATTTGTTCTACATAATGCCTTTCCAAAGTACAGTAACTTTGCCCAATTGTGTACTGTTATGGGCTGTCTTGTGTGCCATTTATGAAAGGTGTATTAGTGTACTTGTAGAGGAATGATGAGTCAAGGAAAGATAAGTAAATTGGGCCAAAGACCTTCTTCATCCAAACCTCTTTGTGATCTTGTGAAACAGAAATTTTGGGAGTATTGCTTTAAAGAGCCCTTCAACAAGCTCAGCTGGTATTTGGTGATGTTTTAGCCAAGCACGAAATACTGATCAGGACAAAATGTCTCTAAATTTTATAAGCAATAATGCATTTCTATTCATGCAATTCTGAAGAGGTTGGCTGAGAAAATATAGTCTGTGCTCTGTTGAGTAAATCCTGTGAAGTTCTTTGAGATGTGCTCGGAATGTGAAAAATGCTATATGAAATACAAGGTTTATTATATAAAGATGCATTATTTTAGAGATCAGTATGTGACAGGGTTCTGTTTGTAAGTGTATTTTCAGAATGATGGGAGGATTTAATTTGAATGCAACATAGAACTATATGTAATGAAATTAGTACTACTCGTCCCAAACCATACCCCTAACAGAATAATTTCTAAAATTGAAAAAAACAATTAAAAGTTAACGTTCAATAACAAGAGGTTCCTGCCTGTCTGCACATTTGTGACAATGAACAGCCTAAATAACTCATCCTTGTCTTTACAGTTCGAAGTTCGTTCAGAAGGTAAAATATGTCTTCAGCTTGGCAGAGCTGGCTAATCTTATTCCCATGGAGTATGTATGTATACCAGACTGCATCAAAACGTAAGTTTCACCATTTCTAATTGTGTACGTCTCTGTGTGAGGAGTCTCCTTCTGTTGCCTAAGTTTCTGTCTATCTCTCTCTGCATCTCTCTGCAAACAACAATCTCTGCAGGAATGTAAATATCTCTATGAATGAGTGAGAGTCTCTTTGTCTCTGGGTCTATTTTGAGCAATATTTTTAATGGAGAAGCAATGCGTCACTAAAAAGCATGCAAAGCAATAGGAATCCAGTGAATATCAATGTTCTCAACAACTGGGTAAAACACGATTAACAGGATTGCATTAGGAAAGTGGACTGATAAAGACATTTCAGTCCATCAGGTGGTGTGAGGAGCTATTGCAAAAAAAACCTGTCTTGGTTCCAAATTAACCATTGTGCAACAGAAATGGCTGCCGATTTAGGACTTCAATAAAACCCAAACTGCTTTAGGGAAAATATTGTACTTTGACGTTTACCATTAGCACTGCATAACCAGGTTCAGGCGAGGAAATCAAAATCCATTAGAACATGCGTATGATTTACATTTGTGTGTGTTTGTGTGGAGTTATATGGGGTGCAGAGCTTTATAGGTGGGACACAAAGGTGGTTCAGTGCCTGCTGCACTGTGAGAGAAAATAACTGTGTGATTGGCAGAAAGGTAACCACAGAGCCAAAGACACATTTGAGCCTTTAACAGTTTTGAATTGTAATTCACAAGTCTGGTTGTGTACCCTGTTTGTTGAACATGTTGTGTGAATATAACAAACTTAAGCTTTTGTGATTTTAAATAGTTCTGGCAATGTAGCCCTACCACTTGTTTGAAGCTATGAGATGTGGCTGTTTTGAAGCTGTGTTGTACCTTCAGTTCAATAACTGGAGACCGGAAGGTTAGGATGGAATGGGATCGGAGATAGGAGGAAGATTGTAGAACGAGTTAGAAAGAGACTGTTCTGTGAACGTGTGCCAAACCTCTTTTATATATCTATAAATAATAATAATTATCCTTACATTTCATATAGCTCCTTACATTTCATATAGCGCCTTTCATGTCAGGAAGATGTCTCAAAGCGCTTCACAGTATATATTGTAAAGTGTAATGACTGTGGGTTTTGTAGATTAACGCGGCAGCCAGTATAAACACAACAACGTCCCGCAAACAGGCACAGAGTGAATGATCAATAAAAGTAACAGAGATGAAGTTGAACATCCTATGTTAACGATCATATAATGTCTGAACATAAAGACAGAGGGTGGGATTTCCAAAACTCAGTCTGACATAGGCTAGCCCATCAAGTCAGAGAGTGTAGACATTGTAGGATCCAGCTCAAAGAAAAAATAGATCTCCCCAGTGAGAATACGTAACTGGGAAGGACACAGAGGCCCCAAAGGAACCACAATGAGTTAAATCCAGGATAAAAGCAATTAGAGCCTGTGTGAAGTTGACATGCCTTGTGAAGAGTGAGTGACCCAGGTGGCAGCAGAGAATGAGAGAGATCTGTGGTGGTTGCAAATCAAACAGAAGTTGTAAAACAGGCAAGGAAAGATAGGTGCCTGGACTTTCACTGGTACAGCCTAATAGCAGCTAATAAGCAGTAACTTTGTTCATCTGACTTGTTGGTGTATGTCTGTAGATATAATGGTGTTAAAGGTACAATGACAAATTAACAGATTGCAGGAAGTAGCCTTGGGAAAATGAAGAAATTGATACATATATTACCTGTTTTACGCCTCCTTCAGCAATGTGAGCCCTTCAGCAGTTAGGAACCAACTGAGGGACTTGTCTCTGGAGCTGAGGGCAGGTAGCAAAGTAATCCCTGCTTAAATATCACCACAATTTACTGCCTTCCAGCCCTAATGTGCAATTTCCCTGTCTGTACAGCATAAATCCTGGGATTGAGTAAATGTTGACCTGATCAATACTGAGCTGCACAGTTCGTGTTGTAAGCTTTTATAGAATAATTTGAGAGTGACCTGTGTTATACCAATGTTCATAAAATGTACATTACATTTATATTTGTGTTTGATTTCCATAAAATGAATGATTAGTCCAGTTCTCGTTTCCTCTCCTGCTGCCTGGGATACAATGCGGGGTTTGTTTTCTTTGCTGGTTTTGTGTGTCTTTCCTTAACTCCTCCCTGAATCTTTCCTACTCCAAGGTATGAAGAAGAAAGGTGTAGAAAAAGGAATAAAAGGTATTTTCATTTTTTATCTAGGATGGCACTGCACACTCCATAGTCTGCACAATGGCAAACTAACTGCTTCATCTACTCACAGGATTAAACCCAAGGTTTATAAGTTCACTGTAATGTGCTGTGAAACAAATCAAAACAATTGAAAAACAAAGGATTCCTACAAAATAAATATGTAAACAGATGACAGTTTTCCTATATACCTCCTATACATTTTAATGATTCAATTTTTTTCAAGTCAGAAGAAGTGAAGCACGAGACAGAGTAAATGTAGGTTTATATGAAAAAGATTGCGTCCAAATTGCAATGCTGCAGTACTCACAAGAAGCCACAGGAAGCCACTAGAGTACCCAATTGGCTTGTTTTAGCCAAAAGTGAAATGAATTGTAAAACAGTACACTAAATAATAATTAAATGAATGCATCCTGAACTTTTTAAATGTCTTAACTCAGGATGTGACTTATTGCTCACAAAGATGTACAGCCCTGACTCTGATTAAGAAATAAAATAGTGTATTAAATGACTCCTTTGTATTATTTTCGGTTGGATGGGTAACCTTGGGGATAATTCTGTGAGTTCAGCTACATGTTGATCTTAACAGTGAGGATTTTTTTTTTATGAACAAATGAACTTTAAGATATGAAATTTCTTTGTTGAAATAAACTCAGGCTAAACCTGGCACTAAAATCAGCATGCTTCCTGGCTGACCTGTGCTAAATATATTTACTGTCTTTCGTTTTCCACTAGGCTTGTAACTAAAATACAGTGAATGCTAAATCTAATTTTAAGCGTGGCATTTACATGCAACTGACGTTCTCAAACCTGAATCAACTAACCATGGCCTGGAACTAGTGAGATTCTGTGCATTTTTAGAAGTAGCTATTTTAGTTTGATCACAATACTACAAACAAAATACTGAGGACAGTTTCTCACAGAATTTGTAGTTGTTCTTGCGAGTAATTTATGCATTGATCTGAAGGTTATCGGTGCAACTTTGGTTTTGCTGTTCATCCTTTCCTCCTAGCCCTTCAGGTTTGAATCTGACTTTAAGATGCAGTTTGAACTGATTTTAAAGTTTTATGGATTTTCTTAGGGTAAGATACAAAATAAGCAGTGGTCAGTATTGGTGTTACTGGTCAGTGAACAACCGTCAGAGAATGTTGACTGCTATGACATAACTAACCAATCCAGCAATACTTCCCTCCCTCTCTCCCTCAGGAAACACCAGATAGTGAAATTCTTCAGGATCTCTTTGTAGTTGTGGAAAATCTAATTTCACAGAAAATAATGTTCAGTCGCTTGTCTGAAAGTCAGAAGTCTGACAAGTCATGTGTTGCTGTCATAGTTCTGTGATGTTTGAACTCAAACGTTTTGATAACTGTGTACTTCTTCAGGGTTTCTATGGAGTTATTTCATTGTCACAGAAGTGCAGCGATAAATAATTCTCATTTTATTAAGACGATGGGTGAAGAGTTGTGCCAATTCTGTTCTCCACTTCAAGATGATTCTATTTGCTGTCCAGTTCCTTTTAAACACTCCAATCAGTTCGGTATTGATGGGCTTTTTTTTTGGGGGGGGGGAAAGGGTGCATTTCACATTCTCATAACCCTTCACTGTTAAATGACTCAGGAGGCTACAAGTTCAGGGTTGTGAAAGCAAATTTAGCACCAACCCAGGAATGTATTTCTTTACACAGAAGATAATCAACAATTAAAGCATGTTAACAGGAAGGGTGATTAAAACCATAAAACTGATATAATTTAAGAAACAGATGGATAATATAATAGAAATATAATAGGATTGGAGTTCTAGAATGATGAGCTACAATGGGTCAAAATGACACCTTGATTCAAATTTTTCTTGGGATCTTTTCCTCATATACATGTATATATTTTTAAAGCCTAAGTTTTCATCACGTAACTATTTCTTAACTTACCTCAGTTTCTTTCCTCCTTGGTTATGCACTGTACTATTGGGTCTTGGCCCTATGTTTCATCATTTAAAGAAATTCAAGTTGAAGCCTAATGAAGTTTTGCTCAAAATATAGAAAGGGTTAAATGCAAAATGACAGGCTGGAGATTTTCCTTTAAAAAGAAAAAGGCTACACAATGAGAAGCATTTGCCTACATCCTGCGAGTTATTCTTTTCAAAACTATTTTCTCCTAAAACAGGACTGACCAGAAGCTGAACGGACAATTGGCACAGCCTTAAAAATCATCAAATTGTCAAACTACTTGGCAAAAGCAAGACTGAAGATTGTGTAAACCAAATGCTTTGCACATGAGGTGCATTTGTTCTCAATGCTTTTTAAATATTACAAAGTGCATTTCAGGCTACAGTTTTTATTCGCTGATGTATTTTATGTGTAATGTTAAATCTTTTCATGTTGACTCACTAATTTGTTAAAGCATTGTGACAATTTTACCTTCAAAGAGACAGCACATTCTTGAACCACATGTCTTTCTTTATAAGACACACAATATGCAGCATTATATTCAGTTAGTGTGTGGTGCATGATTTCCAGTTAAACAAATATATTCAAATACAGTAAAGGGTAGAGATTAATATATTTTTCTGATGGCTGTTTTGGAGTCATATTTTATATAAGAAAGGTTTAACTGCTACCAGTTTATTGTGTACCAGGTCATGATATGCTGTTGCCAATGATGGTTATTCAAGCCATTTGTTTTGCAATCTGCAAGAGATCACTGCAGCATCTGTTAATGTTAAACGATTAGTTTCTATGTTTTGTGTAGTAAACTGAATGGTTAAATTTGCTCAGAATGAACAGTATACTGTTTAGGTTGGAGTTGAATGCTAGAATCTTATTTGTTATGTGAAATGTTAGTGGAAACCATGTATTGTGCATTTATAAATACATATAAAAACAGCAATGTTTTTCTTTTGCATTTTATTGTATTCCTATCCAGTAACGCAGTTGGTTATTTCTGCCCTCGTGTGAATCTGGTACGTGCAAAGAAAGAATTATTAGAAAACATTCTGCCTTTATCAAAGGGAATTTTGATCGTTGAATTTTGAAATTGCTTTAAGAATTTTAATTAGTGGGTGGTGTCGGAGATCATGAAAATCACATGAAATGCATTCTGAATACAAATTTGTTTCATCACACAAACTGTGCAAAGCTTTTTTTTTATTGCAATCATGTATTCTGTTTGATACAAGTATTCACCCATTTATCCTTCGTAAAATGGCAGCACTTTCAGTTTAACTGTATAATCAAATCCTTGGTCATCGAGAATATTAATGCCCTTCGAGATCAGCCTCAGATTGTTCCTCCAGAGTTGCAATTTCAGTCACCACGGAGGCATACCGTCAAGCGCTCTGGGACGCGACCCTACATGGTTAGAGCACTCGCTTTGCAAGTGAGAGACCTGAGTTCAATTCCAGGCAGAGGGCGAAACCTTGGGCAAGTTTCCTTACTCCACACGCCTAATAATAATCCCTCCAAAAAAACCAAAAACAATAATTAAATTGGCCATTTTCAATCTACGACTGTTTGTGGGACATTGCTGTGCGCAATTGGCTGCCGCGTTCGCCCACAAATATACAGTCAATTCACTTTACAGTCTGTTCTGTGAAGCGCTTTGGGACGTCCTCCCGACATGAAAAGCGCTATATCAAATGCAAGGATTATTATTATTATTATTATACATGAGGGGCACGACATCAGTGCAAGTTGTTGTGTCAAACAACAACAACAACAACAACAACTCGTATCCACATAGCGTCCTTCCAGGAAGTGTCTCCGAGCGCTTCCATCATTCGAATTCTTTTCAACGCGCGGAAGGACCAACGCCTAACGGAAAACCAGGAGGCCACTCATTCAGCCCATCGAGCCCGATTTACCGGGTCTCTGAATCCCAATGCCTTGGCCATTTTTATGCCACACACCTTGTGGGCCACCCCTCATAACTGTAGTCAACTCCAGCTGTACTGCAGCGCCCCTAGTGCCCGTCCTGTGCCAGACCAGAAACAATGTGGCGCTGGGGGCGACACAACAGGAGGAGGAGGGGGGGGTAGAAGAGCTGCGCGTGCGCGAACGGATGAAGGCCTGCGCGTGCGCGAACGGATGAAGCCCTGCGCGTGCGCGAACGCGAAGCGGGCCCGGAGGAGGGGGAGGGGGTTGCAGTGCGCCTGCGCGTCTCTCGGCGGGGCCGGGGGTGGGGGGGAGAGGCTGAGCGGCGGAGATGGCGTACCAGCTATACCGTAACACCACGCTGGGCAACAGCCTGCAGGAGAGCCTGGACGAGCTCATACAGGTACCGCTCCCGCCGCGCTGGCTGCAAAGGGTCGGGGGGGTGAGGGGTGAGGGGAAGGAGGCCTCGGGCTCGGCCTCGGCGGCTCTCTCTCTCGCTCTCTCTCTCTGTGCCCGATCCTCGAGTAGCTCAGACCGTGGCCTAGTGTCGCCGCCTCTCCCGCCCGCGGGCAGAGCGGCGGCGGCGGCTCCTCCTGTCTGGTTCCGACAAGCGGACGAGCGCCCACTGAATGAGAGGCTGCAAGAGAGGGGGGGGGGGGGGGCTCAAGGAGGCCTTTCGGGTCTTGGGTCAACTGGGTCTTTCCAATAAAAAATAAAACCTTTCTCTCCACCACCACCACCACCACCTGTGGAAGGCTCTTAATAATAATAATAATAATAATAATAATAATCCTTGCTTTTGATATAGCGCCTGATCACACCTTCGAGACGTCTCAAAGCGCTTCGCAGAATATACTGTGAAGTGAATTGGCCGTATATTTTGTGGGTGAAACGCGGCAGCCAATTGCGCACAGCGGCGTCCCCACAAGCAGTCGTGGATTGAGTGGCAACAACAAAATTACGTTTGTAAAGCGCCTTTCACATCGGGAGGACGTCCCAAGGCGCTGGACAGCAGAGTTTTGGACCTGATTATTATTTGCTTTTATTAAGTAATTAGGGTAAGCGATCTGTCAATCGACTTAACAACCAGGTTCCTACATAGTGCCGGGTAAACAGAGGTGTGTGGAGTGAGGAAACTTGCCCAACATTTCGCTCTGCTGGGAATCGAACCCAGGTCTCTCACTTGCCAAACGAGTGCTCCAACCACTGAGCTACAGGACTCCACAGTCTTAGTCTTAAATGTTCCCCCTTTTTGTTCTCTCTCTGAACTGGAGGATTATAGGTTCAAGCACCACCCACCCACACCTCCCTCCAGTCAGGACTTTTGAGCTCCCAGTTCAGGCTGATACCTTGATGCAGTGCTGGCTGGGCGCAGCGCTGCATTGTTGGAGGTCCTGTGCTTTGGCAGAGATGTTAAACGAGGGGACGTTAAAAGTCCCATGGTGCCATTTGAAAAGAGAAGGGAGATTCTCCCAGTATCCTAGCGAACAAACCCCCAAATAAAATCTGTTACTCACTTTATGACTGCTTATGGGACATTGCTGCTTTGACAAATTGGCTGCTATGTGTGCCGACAAATATACAGGCTATCAATTCAAACTCTGTGACATGATGAGGCACTATATTGCATACAAGGATTGTTATATTTATTATGCATATAAATGTTGCTTGCTACAGCAATTGAAATGGAATAAATCAATTGTTTGGTGTCTCACTTTGGTTTATAACTTTACAGAAATGTTTACTTGACAGATGTTAATCTAGAAATGATGGAACATTTTTGAATTGTTTGTTGTCATTTTAACACTTTCTTTTGTCACCTTGGCTTAATTGGGTTCAGATTACACCCACCCATTGAGTGTCACGGTCAGATTCAATACCATTATTGTGAATCAGAAATGTGGATGTAAGTTACATAAACATTAAAGCACACAAATGATCATAAAGTGTTACAAAATCAGGAATCTGAGCACTGCACCTTCATTAATCCCATCTACCACCTCCTCATCTTGAAGAGGTAAGATTCAATTCAACCCTGCCTTCTGTAAGAAGTTTAGCATAAGGATTATGATGGGTGGGAGGGGGGGGGACGGTAGAGAAAGATGACATAATAATTTTAAATAATCCAAATCAACTTCATTTGTTAGTTTTTTTTTACTTCTACTGACGTTTGTGGCAATTGTGTAAGGTTCCAATAATGTTAACTCTTTTTAGTGATCATTTGTGTGCTTTAATGCAGGGTTGTCCAATACGTTAGCCACTAGTGACGTGTGGCGAATTGGGAATCCAGATGTGGCGAGGTGGCATTTTTTTTATTCGTAATAGACACCATTATTGGGCATGTAATCTCAGTACATCTGAGATGTACAAAAGTAATCTCCTTTTTTGGTAAAAACGGTAAGACAAAAAGCAGTGCGTTCGACTGCTTTTTGATCGTTGTGTGTGCTATACTTCCTTGGTGATCTGCTGAAATGCTGTGTGACGTGGATGAAAATACCAGATTTCAGCACCATTGAAATATTCCTAATATTGTATGGAGTGCGGGGGAGGGACGGGGAGATATCAATCGTGGTCAGATTGAAGATTTGGGAAAACCACACCAGGCCTGCAGAAGAAAGCAAGCCCAGCCAATAACCAGCAGCTCCAACGGGGCAGCCAACAGCGTTCTGAATGGAGAGTGCCTGGGGGGCGCATGGTGGGGGTCTGGCACGTTGCACAAAAGAAAAATAGAGAAGACTGCAAGTTTTGCACCGAATGATGATAGACATGTGTGAAGTAAAGATACATGTAAACTTACATGTATGTATGTTTACCTGTATTGTCTGAATGTGTGTGTAAGACGTTTTTTAACTACAGTTCATGCATGTGGCTAAAATGGTGTTGTCCAATAGTCACACCTGTGGCTGGTCAGTGATTTCAATTTTACAATACTGTTTTAATGTATAAATGATATGCATAACACATCCACTCAAGATTTGTGATAATGGTATTGAATCTTACCTTGGTATTACAATGAAAGGAATCGTTGGAAGAATTTTCCAACGGATCATTTTGAGTTATTTGATGTGATTTCATGAATTCAAGCTTTCTGAAGCAATTTCCACCATAATCATTTTAAAATCATCACAAATACCTCTTCAGCTTACTTTTATCTTGTGTTGTAGTACTGGAGCTGATGTTTCAATTCTAGTAACTTGCCACTTCAGCAACAAAATGGCATATTGCTGTGATAATTCTATGTTAAACAACTTCTGTGAAACACTTTTTTCTATAGTCACAGCAGATCACTCCTCAGCTTGCACTCCAGGTCCTGTTGCAGTTTGACAAGGCTATTAATAGTGCATTGGCCCAAAGAGTCAGAAACAGAGTCAACTTCAGGGTAAGAAATTTATTTTATTTTACTCTGTGTTGGTGTGAAAGCATATTTATAGTCTATGCTTTACTCAGTTTTTCTCACTTGCATGTTTTGGTGGAGACTCTGCAATGTTTGGAAGTAGAGAGAGACATTTTCCTTGAAAAAATAAAGTTTACCGAACAAATAATTTGTTATCAAGTACAGATTTTTGGAATCAATTAGTTTTGCTATTGATAATTTTAAGTAGCAATCTTGATCATTTTTTTTCACAATAGTTTCTGTCTTTTACATTTTCTCTCCATTTATCTCATCTCTTTAAAGCATTTAGCTCCCTTTAAATGGAAGTTATTTATTATATTACTACAAAATCCAATTCAACTGTGCACAGCCTTACCATCTAACTTCTGCCAAATCTCTGTTCTTTCTGAGACAAGCAGCGCTCCAAACAGCGAGATGTACAAATCTCATTGAATGTTTTCCATGTAAAACTTAAGTTGGTGTAAACCACAATCAGGCTATCAATTCAAACTCTGTGAAAAAAAATGTTTTGCAATTCATTTGCCAACTTGTCATACATATATATGGGTGACTATTTTCTGCAAAGGCAATTCTAGAACTATTCACATTGGACCATTTGTGCTGTTGCAGTAATTTTTTAATGACCTGTTTTTATTTTTTAGGGTTCTTTGAATACATACAGATTCTGTGACAATGTCTGGACATTTGTCTTGAATGATGTGGAATTCAGAGAGGTCACTGAGCTTGTAAAAGTGGATAAAGTGAAGATTGTAGCGTGCGATGGCAAAAGTGAGTTGGGTTTCCATGAACCATCTGTTTGTAAAAGTATAGAAATGAGAGCTTACAATGCAAAAGGAATTGATGCTGACAGATAAACATTTATTGTGATATAGTTCCAAGTAATGTTAGTTTTTCTTGATGTAATTTTTGTCTTTGTATTTTGTAATATACATGGCTTCAAACTGAATATTGAATTTATGTCAATTTGTTCCAATAACAAATCCCAGTAGTTTATTTATTTTAATATTGCTTGTATATATATATATGTTGCTGTATTGTCTTTTGGATGAAACATTAAACCAAAGTCCTGTCTGCAGGTTCAGATGGATGTTAAAGAACCCATGATACTATTCAAAAAGAAAGGAGCTCTTCCACATGCTCTGGCCAACAATCCTCCAGATAAATTGCTCATTCATCACTTTCTGATTATTTTGTGGGATATTGCTACGTGTAAACTTGCTGCCACATTTACCAACAAATAGTCACTAAACTTATCATTAATTGCTGTGAAACATTTTGAAGCATTTCATTGTGATAAGATACTGTGTCGAATGCAAGAATTATTATTTACTGAAGAGATGCAACACGTAGAGTTTCTGCCATGTGCATTTAAAAAAATCTTGTCCCATTGTTTCAGATGCATAGTTTATAAAGCAGAAGATTCAAATGTATACACAACTAGAATGGCATTGATTTGTCTAGCTGATTCTTTTAATTTGGAATTTTTAAAATTGCATGTATGATGGGTATGAAATGTTAAAGCTGGATTTAAGAAATGTACTGTATTGCATTGAAATTGAATCTGTTTTTGTTTACAGACACTGGCTCAAATGCAACTGAGTGAATGTAAAAGTGAATTTTTTTAACAAGATCTATAACTGGATAGGTAACTCTGTGAAGACGAAACCAGACCAGCCTTATTTATGAACTATTCCAGTTATTAACGCAGTGCATCAAATTGCAGCTATTTCATTTATTACTTAACTGTGGAACAAATAATGTGAGCAAATTTGTACAGTTACACAGATGTACATTATAGGTGAGATTTACTTTTTTTATGATATGAAATCATAACTCGTAGCTTTTTTTTGGATTAATGTTTGAAATTGAAAGAAAAAACGAATAAAGTTTTACTTAAAACATTTTTGTTTACTGTTCGTGGTGGGAGGCAAAAGTAAAAGGTTGAAGCCTCACATTTATATGGTATCTGAAGTCTCATCCTTTTAAAATTTCTCAGGTGTTATGGCTTGCAGAGTATCAAGGCTATTTCCTTAACAGTCTTTCATGCAATGATGTGCATGGAGTTAAATTTTCCCAATTAATTCTACTAAAATTCTTGTTCAATTTGAAAGAAAATGTGAGTGTCTGAGACGTGTTTTGAAACAATTACAATATCAATTGTGAGAATTATTATTGATCTAGCTTTTACTCTTCTGTTACTGCACTTGAATCACATTTGAGTTAGTTTTAAGGTCACCTCTATTGGAGATTTTGTGTTTGTGTAATACTTATTTTCTGATGTTTAGAAAATAAACCCAGTGCCATGTAACCTAACTGCTTTCAAAATGAAGACAGCTAAAATACTTGCTTCTGCTTTACCAACAACGTGAGTGAATTTTATTGCATTCGCACAAAGGTTTTAAAAAATAGTACATAAAGGGTATTTTAAGTTAAAGAAAATAAACAGCATGTGAAAAGATTCACACTAAATAAGAGCGCTAAGGAAAGGTCAATTTTAATTTAGGTAAATATGAAGTTATACAGTATTATATATTTGAACAGGAAATAGCAAATGTAAATATGATAAAATAATAAAATGGGGTCCATTAGCAAAGACAGAAAAGGAAAATAAGTGACTTGGTCATTCATTTAACTTTTTCAGTCCAACAAGCAAAATGGTCAGGAAAGTAAAGATGCGCTCTTTGGGCAGCGAAATCACAAATCTCCACTGCAGCTATTTTGGTTACAAAGCCTGAAGGAAGAGGTATCGGACACAGATTTGCTTCAGCTCTGATTGCTACTTAGTAGTCCACTGCAGGTCCTTCCAACAGATTTACAAATCTGGCATGAGAGTCCTACTGTCTGACTTGTAAAGAGGTCAATCGATAAGATCTAATTTGTCGAGACATCTATTAACTGACTTTTCAGTCATAAATAGTGCAGATTTAAAGTTGGTGTTTCCTGTTGAAACATTCCGATAAGATGTTGAACACAGGGGTCTTATAGATTCTGAATTAAAAGTCACGGTTGACATTTTGCCTTCCCTATTACTCTTGATTGTGAAGGAAGCTCCTTGGACATGTATTATCAAATAAATGGTAGCTCTACCTGTCTTGCCTGACCAAAGCTGGTGTGCTATTCTTGAATCTGTGTTCAGATCTGTATTTGTGTATCAAATAGAACCGAGATCAACCTGCTACCTCTAAAACATCATACATGACTATCAATTACTGGTGACTTTTTGCAGCCTACTGTAAAATGTTATTTGAGGATATTCATTCACTAAATATACAATACTTTGCACAGAATCCTATAGATATATTACAAAATGCATTAAAAAGGGTTCAAGTTGTAAAGTAACCCACTTCCACGTGGTCTGAGGATAACCTATAAACTAGGTAGGAAAGGGCAGCCGCAATTTTTCCGAGGAATCGTTGTAAACAGCACCCTCTGCTATAAACCCGCTGAATAATCAAGTTTCTGACCCCGGGCCTCTGTTTATCTGACGTCACTGTGGGCGGGGAGGCTAGAGCAGTGCAGCGTGATAGACCTGCGAGAGACCAAGCAACAATGCTAACAACTGAAGTCAAAGGCGAGGAGCGGACCTGTTTAACACCCTCACACGGTGGTGCCGCAGACCTGGGAGGATCGATCCCCAATGTCACTGGGTGGAGCGGCACTAGCAGGAAATGGACTTTGCTCCCTTCAGAGACTCCAATGTTCTGATTGTTTGTGTGTGTGTGTCTATGTGAGTGTCTCTTTTGTGAGACACTGCTGTGCTCAATTGGCTGCCGCGTTTCTCCCACAAAACACAGTCACTACACTTTACAGTATATCTGGTGAAGCGCTTTGAGACTTCTTGAAGAAGTGATAAGGTGCTATATCAAATGTAAGGATTATTATTTCAGTTTTCAAGTGAGTCAGCGATTTACGCGTACTACCACCAATGTAGGTAGCATACTGCATTTGTTGCTCAAGGTGTGGTCTCTACATTGGGGACTGGGAGACCGATTTGCCGAACTCATCCATTCTGACCACAAGCACAGCCCTGAGCTTCTGGTTTCTTGCCACTTCAACTCTCCCTTCCACTGACCTCTCACTCCATGGTTGCTCCAATGAACCACAGCGCAAGCTTGGGGAACAGCACCTTATCTATCTGTTAGGGACCTTACAGCCCTCTGGCCTCAATATTGATTCCAACAATTTCTGACCAGAACAGTTCACCTTCCCCTCTTCTGTGACCATTACCACATCATCTGGGTCCCAGGCACACCTTTTCATTCTCCGGGCTGCCTGTTTGCAATTTCCCCCTCTGTTTTGCATTATTAACATGTCTTTAGCCCATCATCCCCTGTCCACTACCCCATTTTCTCCTTTGGCTTCCTTGCCTTGAATCCCCCTCTCTCTGTTAGCCTTTAAAAGCCTCTCCCTCTCAACATACCCCAGTTCTGACTGAGGGTGGTGGACCCAAAACGTTGACTCACTTTCCTTTCTCCATAGATGCTGCCTGACCTGCTGAGCGTTCCTAGCGACTTGTGTTTTTGTTTCAGAATTCCAGCATCTGCAGGATTTTGCGTATTATTATTATTATGTGTTTATGAGGTTCTAAGTGAGTCTGTCTCTCTCTCTCTCTCTGTTTGTGAGTGTGTCAATGTGTCTCTCTTTGTGAGTGTCTCTGTGTGAGTGTCCCATTGAAAGACATTGAAATTGTTTTTAAGACAAAACGAATGCAACTGGCTGCACAGATTTCAGTGTCCAGTCTATGGATAATGTAAAGTTATTAGTATGGGGGTTGCATCAGCCAGTGCACTTGGTCGTTCCTCCCAGTAGCTCGTCTTGTGTTGGGGATTCCTGGAAACTGTCACTAGAAGGCCTTGTTGAGCTTTCTGGTGATAGCTACAGAAGCACTTGCATATTTCATGGTGTCAAAATGTATTTGGCGTTGCAGCTCTCACGATACACATATCATGCTCAAAGATTTCACTTACTATTCATACGCTACGTTTCTCGGACCAACGGAGAGATTTTTGGAGCTTGTATTGCTGCAAATACCCCCTATTCATTTAAATAGTCCATTTAGCAAAACCTAATAAAACCTGATTTAAATGCGTTCAAATGCCTCCCAGGAGACGACTCCTTTAAAACGTATCTTTCCATCCACGCTGTCCTGAATAGCCAGTGGTAATTTTATTTAACAGCGTTTTAAAAAGGACAAATAAATAAACAGATTGTGAGGTTCACAGCAATATAACCTGTCGCGTTTGACATGTCCAATACCGATTGTGTTAATTGATGGGGTGGGATTCTGCCAACAGCCTTTCCTTAGTCGCCGGTGCTTGTTCACAGATACCATGGGAAAATGTCACAACTGTAATGAACAACGTGGCGGTGTCAGGGAAGCCATAAAATTGGTGAACACATCAATCGTGTCTGCAAAGGCAGCTCTGGTGTCTCTCTCTGTGTGTGTGTGTGTGTGTATTCTGGGTGGGAGTGGAGTGTAACACATGGTAGAAACACCAACGCCTTGTCCGACATAATTTGAAGGAGGTGGGACTGTATTTCTCACTCTCCTGATCGCTCACAGGAAGACAGACCTGCACCAGCACCAAGGTTAAACCTTGGTGCAACTCCTCCCACCCCTGCATCGTGAAGCTTGCACTATCTAATGCAACAAAACAAGGGGCTGAGAGCCATTACATCACGTAGGGGAAGCTGAGATTTACACCCTCCTCTGCTTTCCACCGAGGTAAAGCAACCCAGCCAGACAGGGTGAGCTTCTCCACGCAGAAAGAAACCTGGGAACCACAGGCACAAGGGAGCGTTTACGATTTTTCTTAAATATATTTATTATATATATATATATATATATAGCTTTCTCTCTCATGAGTGGCATCAATACGCACGCATCGTCTTCTCATCTTACGCTGTTTTCTCTCTGCCCTCCCCTTGTTATTTCTGATATAAACTGGGAGGTTTCATCCGCTGGAGCCCAGAAAGCTCTGTGCGTGTGCGTGTGTGTGTGTCTCGCCAGCCTGAGGACATTGCTCCAAACTTCTCTGAACGATTAGTCTTATTGCAGAGCTCTCCCGCAAAATAAGCCATGACTCTCCGGGATTGTGCCCTCTGGATTTTCGTATTTATCAGCTTGCTGCACGGTAAAAAAAAAAGAAATCAATCAATTCGCTACCAGTTTTGTGCATAGAGTTGGTTATTAGCGTTGTTTTTTTTTATATTGTCAAATTGCACACAGGTTGCTCGCTGCCGCTTCCAGGGATGGAGCAATCAGCGACCCAAATGGACAAGTGAGAGTTGGAAATACTTTCAGCTCAATATTGTATTTGAATCGCACCTTTGGACCGTGAGTGTTCCTGTCTACCGCTGTGTTCAGGGGTAACATCCAGTTGCAGAAAAAAAAACGCCTTTGCAAGTCAGCAGAGACGCGTGGAAATGCTCACGCGATTTGGGTGTTTAAGTATAGACTTGTCCGACATGGCCCGGTCTTAAACCGATGAGCAAAAACCCGCTTCGGCTTCAAACTTCACGTTTAGTTGAGGCAAAGCCGACGCGACTTGATGTGAATATTACAGCGGAAGGCAATTTCATTCGCCCTTAAAAGTGGGGAAGGTGCAACCAATAGTTATTGCATGTGCTGTAAACAGCATAACGGTTAAACGTATCTCTGTGCAAGTGCACGAGTGTCATTTTGCTGCGATTTTCTCTTTAATCCATACTTTACCGACACGGAACCGACTGAGGATACTGAAATCTGTTTTATTCAGAAGGTTACAAATACGCACCCGTGTGTCACTGTGGCTCCATCTCTTGCAGTGTCCAGGCAGGGCGAGTACCAGAGGAAGCTGTACAGAGAGTTGATGAGGAATTATAACAGCCTGGAGAGGCCAGTGGCCAACGACTCTCTGCCCCTCACAGTCCATCTCACTCTCGGCCTCATGCAGATCATGGATGTAGTGAGTACAGTAGCTCATCACTAAAGAATCGGGCGCACACCCCCCACCCTCCCACCCCACCCCCGACACTGCTGTCTCGCTCACAGAGCCGCAGCAATGATAGATAAAAGCAATTGGTAAAAAAAAACTGTTCCCAAAAGTCTCATGTCCGCATCGTTGTGGTGTAAGTGTGTGTGTGTGTGTGTGTTTTGGAAAAAGCACAGACAAGGGTCCAAGTGGCGAGAAAGTGTGAACCCACTGGAGATGGTGAAGGAGGAGAGACTGTGGCAGGGAGCGGGTCCTGGGGGACCAGACACTGACCACTGCAGACCCCGGGCACCAGAGAAACAAGCCCCCCCGCCCCCCCCCCCTCTCCATCCCCCCTCTTCATTTCTCTCTCTCGCTCTCTCTCTCTCTCTCTAAAAATATATACATATATTTACAACTGTGCGTCCCAGCAGAAGGAACGTCTCTTGAGGATTATTATTCAAAGAAAAAAAAACTGGCTGCGTTTTATTAATGAATGAGAACATCTGGCTGCTTGCGTTGTGAACAGCTGCCTGCGATTTTATATACATATATATATATACATTCACACTTGCACCATCCTCAGCAAGTGATTTCCTCACTCGATTCTTTTTCATACTTTTATTCATTGCAGGACGAGAAGAATCAAGTGCTGACCACCAACGTCTGGCTCCAAATGGTAAGATAATTCTAACAGTAACAGGTTGTGTATTTGTTTTTCCCCTCCCAGGCTGAGGGTGAGAATTTGCGCTCCAGTGTTTGCTCACGATATTCCTGCGAAAGGGAACTTGGATGCACGTTTCACAGCCACTCTGGGACCCAAACTGAAGCGCCTTTGTGGATCCGCTTATTAACGAGCACATGATTTACGCTCAAGTTGCTCCAAGAACGACACAACCCTCCTGTATGGGGTAATGAGAAAAGGTCGGCCAAAGGAGAGGAGCGACACACACACACACACACACACACACACACACACAAATACAGCCTTCAAACCGGATTTCAGTGGAGGAACAGTCAGCTGCACCCTTAGATCGAGGACTGGAAGTGTTCGCACTTCTTCCCTTCCTCCCAGAGGAGATGCTGTGGAGACCCACCAGTTAGGGAGAGTGTAAGGTATAACGGAGGGGATCGCTGAGGGAAGGAAGCGCTGAGCGGTGTGGACGATTCCTATCGCACTTTGTTAGGATTTTTTAAAAAAAAAATAAAAGCAAAGCCTCGTTTCATCTCTCTTTAAAATTCACAGCAGAGCATACGTGCATTTGAAACACAGCAGGTGGGATAGTGTGAGTGAGCTCAGGGAGCTAACACTCTCTGCCTGTCAGCCTCTGGTCTTTTTCTCTGAACACAGGAAAAGGCTGTGACTGGAGCTGATGTGCACAACAGCGAGTTACATTTTGTATAACCCCTTTCACGTTGGGAGGACGTCCCAAGGCACTGGACAGACACAGATTTGGACCTGATCTTGGGGTTGGGGTCAGGAGGAGTGGAGGGCAGGGGTTTGGAGGGTGAGTGAAGACTCGATCGAAGAAGAGGATCTTGGAAAAAATACCAGAGCAAAAGGCATCACCACCTTGATCCATAATGCACACACGCACACACACTCTCCCTCTTACTCAAGCATTCAGATAGTGCAGAGGGATCACAGGTTGTAGCGTGGATTACTGGCAGATGTACTGTAGTGGCCAAGCCAGAGAGCTAGCTAGCTGTGCAGCAGATCTCTATATGGATTTGTTTGGGATGAAGGTCAATAGAGCAAAGCAATGAATTGGAGTCGATCACTTGTCACTCTTCACTGTATTTTGGAAGAAAGCCTGGGTTCCAGGGAGTGGACCAGTGCCCTCCCAATTCTCTCGGGATTCTCTCTCAACAGTGAGCGAGCATGAGGCTGCACAGGGAAAGGCAACTCTGGTTCTCAAGTCAGCATTGGTTCGAGGTTCTTGCAAAGACCTGAAGCTGTGGTTGCTGAAGACAGTTTGGGCAGTAATGAGTTCACGTCACCCATCTGAAACTTATGTAGGAACATCAGAGAAAAGTGGCACAAACAGGTGCCAGGCCATTGTGAAGCTCGTTACATGGAACACATGCCCTCTTCCATCATACCATCTAATATGGGAGTACATGACAGGGGTAGGGACTGTGGTACAAAAAAAATTATGTAGTCACAAGAGCTATCATGCATGCAAATCAAAATGATTAATACAGTATTCTTGTTTTGCTTTTTCTCCCATTTTAGCAATGGAATGATTACTATTTACAATGGAATGTGTCTGAGTACCCTGGAGTAAAGAATGTCAGGTTCCCTGATGTGAACCTTTGGACTCCAGATATTCTTCTATATAACAGGTATTTCCATCTTACAAATGCAACCTACCTATGAGTTACTTAAAAAAACTTCACTACTACTAATAATAATAAATGCAAGAACCTGAGGAGCAAAGGGATTTGCGAGTTATATAGGTTATTGAAAGTGACATCATAAGTCACAATGAACAGAAAACTAATTGAATACTGGGTTTTATACACAGGAGCATAGAGTACGAAAGTAAAGCAATAATGTTAAGTTTGTATAAATCTTATGTTAGGCCACAACTGGAATATTGTATCCAGTTTTGAGGCATTTCACTTTAGGAAAGATGTGAAGGCCATAGGGGGCTGCAGAGGAGGTTTACAAGAATGATTTCCGGGGCTAAAGGGCTTCAGTAATTAGAAGAGATTGGAGAGGCTGGCCCCATTTTCATTGTAGTGGACAACTTAAATGTACAAAATGATGAGGGTTTTTGTTAGGGTAAATAGGGAGAAATTATTTCTCCATTAAGTCAATAACCTAGGGACATAATTATAAGATAGTCACAAAAAGAGTGAAAGAGGAACTTAGGAGGAACCTTTTCACCCAGAGAATGGGAGGGCAGTGGGATTTAAGTGATCTCCTTGCTCTGTGAGCTGGTGCGGAGTCGGCTGGGCTGAATGGACTCCTTCTGTGCTGCAGATTTCTATGTTTCTATAACAATCCTTGCATTTGATATAACACCTTTCATGTTAGGAGCCTGTCTCAGGGCTGTCTCAAAGCCTTCACAGAATTTACTGTAAAGTGTTAACTGTATATGTAATGAAACAAAAACTTTTGTGGAAGATCTGTAACCCACCCAAAAGTAGCACAGCAGTACATTTTGACAAATTACGATCTTTTGGCAGATGATCACAGATTGGCAGTAAAGGAAGATGAATAATGTATAGATTTATACAGAAATCTGTATTGCATATGGAGACTTAAAATAAGGATTGCAGTGTATTTGTCATTTGGATTCCTTGTGAGATTGGGTTGAATCATACTGGGCATGTTTATTTATAAATGTGTGTGGGGGTAAATGTCAGAGCCAATGATCAAGATGTGTTTCTGATATGTGCTGAGCTTGTGATGTTTATCACAGAAAATGAAAGCTGTGCAGACACTTGCAGTGTTTAGTATGCAACCTTGGTCTAACAGCACATTTCTTATATTGGAGGAAGGTTGAGTAATTATTTCAGCTGGACCATGTACTGCACATATCTGGAGCACAAAGCCTTGTGTATGATTCTTTGACTGTGTAAAATGATTTTCACAATTCTATCACATGGTAATTTTACTGATCAGAAGAGAATCACATACTTTCCCACCAAGGTTAGTAAATTTACAACAACTTACATTTATATAGTGCTCTTCACATGAGTAGCACCTCAGAGCCCTTAAGGAAACTGGAGAGATTTAGAAGTTACCAAAAATAGAACACTCAGTTTGGTTTGGAGACTCTTAAACATGGTGATGGGTTTCCGCCTGTGTCGGACACTAGGCTGACAAAAAAACATGTAGATGAATACCTTGCCAAAATCATCAAAAATGTGTGACAACAGTAAAACAAGGAAACAAGATCTTGGAGTACTCAGGATGTTATTATTTACATTGTGCATAAGTGATGCAGTGACTCTTGGATCATAAATTGCCCTAGTTAACTTGGACAGGTTGAGGCTGAGTATAATCCTTTTATTTCTGCCTTGGCTGAGATTAGCTAATTCAGCAAACGGGAGATGAACCTGGGGCAATGGTCTGGCTGTTGATTTTGTTAGTTTCATTTTGTGGTTTAGCCCTGTGGTATCAGTGAGTGACAGCGATGGTGATGGAAGATTTTTTTGTACCGTTTTTACTTCAGAACACTTATTGATGGCATTACCATGGTTACAACATTAAAGAAACTTGATTTATTTATTCTCTTGTTTATGTGGAATGCCTTTTATATTCTGTATATCTGAACATAAGCATATTTCAGATGCCTGGTTCAGGCATGTACATCACAAGACTTTCTATTGCATGAGTGTCGCACTGAAATCTGGAAGTGTTATGACATTGCTGTGCTGATTCTCTGGTCTCAAAAACAGATCTTCGCAAAAAGAATGCCGGGGGGGAGGGGGGTGGTTGGGAGGTGATTGAGTGAGAGAATCACAGCAAGTTATGTCGCAGCTGTTGATTTGCCTGGTTGGTAGTGGTATTATGAACCTGAAACTCAGCATTAATGTACAAATTCAATATCAGAGAGAAAGATACAATCACAGGGACATCAGGTACAATTGCTTCCTGAATTGGGTAAATTGCAAATAGTTACAGTAATTGTGCAGTGGGCTTTCTTATTCGCACGTGATGTGTGTGAAATATCCAAGGTGCATGAATCCTGAACTGTTACTTAAAATGAATATAAAGTGCATCAGCAGAAAATAGAATGCTACATTTTAGTTCACTGAAGAGAACACCAGAGGGGAAACTCTCTTGAGTTATGACCTATTTGGAATAACAATTCCATTCTGCATTCATTATTTGCTCTTCAGTCAGTTTGGAGATGATCCTTATATACAGGGCTTTTAATTTAAACAAAAGGAATCCATCCTGAATGCATTAGCAAACACCTATGATACTGAACAAAAGATGTGTGCGATTCGTTTCCATCATGCATGGGGTTTCCTGAGCGCTGGGTGTTCCTAATGAGTTATTTAATCATCTTGAAATAAGGCTGATGATGTAAAATATACAGGAATCATACGCCTTGCATTCTGAAACCTCGAGGACAGAAGCTTTGCTGTACATCTATAACTCCGATTTGTATGTCTTGGCATTGAGTGGGCAATGCATCTCCGAAGTTTACGTGATGCTTACCTGCTTTTCGGATTGTGAGCTACTTCGTGAACATAGGTTTGTCTAATGGTGTAAAAGCTGCTATATTGATTGTCTGGAATTTGTAATGTGCTGAATTGACAAAAGTAAAAATGCGCTTGATCACGCATGGAGCTGTATGCAACCTGAGAATTTGGGGCGAAGGGCGTCTTGGGATGTTGGGAAAGATATTTAATCATGCGGGACAGGGCACATTGGTGGAAGCGGTATTGGAGAATTTGGAGAGCAGTTTGGTTTTCCTGCAAGACCCCACCAGCCGGCAAGAAGAAAAAGAGGTGCTAACAACAGCTTGCATTTACATAGTGCTCCTCACGCAGAGTAGTATCCCAGAATGCTAAGATTAAATATGGCATAATTCCATTGAGATAACAAGATTCATTTGGATGAAGAAGAACTTTTGGCTTCAATCTTGTAGAATTCCCAGACTGATGTTCTTAGCATCGCTAGAGCAAGCTGTGCCTTAAATGTGTCCAGTGTCCTGGCCTCAACAACCCTTTCTGGGGGAGCATAACATGGACTTAGCTATACCGGTGTGTAGCTATACATAACGAGCTATACCTGTGTATAGAAGCAATGGGCGCACTAAGGGGAAGCACTTTCGAACATAGTTATTCTTATATGCACTGAAGACACACACTTTTAAAGCATTTTTATTGTGCAAATGTCGTTGAGTAGTATTTTGAGTGATTAAATGTGACCTTGAGAGAGGTTACATTTATGTGGACAACTGAAACACACTGTGTTAATGTCTGCTGATATTGATTCATTTTCCTTATTCTTGTTAATCAACAGCTTAAACAAAAATCGACCTCCCAAAAAACAAAAGAGCATTATTTAAATGTGATATTTTGTACTTTTATTTTCAAAACATCTCAATGATATAGACATTCTTAAGAATATCTGCCCTGATCTAACATTCTTCTCTCTATGGCAATAATAGGGTGTGGTATTTAACTGTGCATAGAAATCTACTTACAATTAAATTCTTCTTCTCTGAAGTGCTGATGACCGGTTTGATGCCACGTTTCATACCAATGTTTTAGTGAATTCAACAGGACACTGCCAGTGGATACCACCAGGTAGATGCTAAATTCTATCGATTGCAATTTAGTTAAAAACTTTGCTATGCTTCCTGACCAGTGGTGTATAGTATAGGCACTCTAGCCAATTAGGGCAACTAGTGCCTTCTCTTATTCATCAAACCTGCTGCTTTAGATCAGGGGTGAAGGTGCCTATTTCTGTTTTTCTTGAGCTTCAATTAATATACATTGATTTAGCCTACACTGTAGTCCTTGTGTAGTAGTTAGTTTGCCCTTTGAAGTGCTAATTCAGTGAACAATGCACCAGGCGCTCTTCTCTATTTTGTCCAAGTAACCATTCTTCCTGCATTCAAATCCTCCATGAATTTAATATTTGAGTTAAATCATGTGGGGTTATGATCTAGCCAGAGACTTTGTCTTCGCCCAAGATCCACATGAACACACTCGTCAATACGTTTCATCATAGGTATTGACAAGTGTGTTTGTGTGGATCTTGAGTAAGATGGTAGTTTGTATCTCTGGTGGTGAGAGATACTTCTATGTTGACCTTGGAGTACTGTTGGTATTGGTTTTGCTGCAGAGTTACTGGTTTAAGCAGCTTTCTGCAGAATTGATGCTTTGCATAAACAAAAGTCAAAAATTCAGTGTCAATTAGAGATGATTTATTCTGACGTTCAAAATTGTGGCTTGCATCTATCATGGTTGCCAGATATTCTGAGCGCACTAATAGGTTCATGGAGGATTTGAATTAGAAATTTGTCTCCCGATTAATTTAAATCTCTGTCTTTATGGAATTTTGAACTTTTTTTTGTTGCAAACATTTAGGGATTATGAAAAGTTCTTGCTACATAGATGTGCGTTGGTTTCCCTTTGACATCCAGAGGTGTGATCTTAAATTTGGCTCTTGGACCTATGATGGCTGGCTGCTAGACCTGCAGATGCTAGATGCTGACATCAGTGGCTACATTCCCAATGGGGAGTGGGATCTTGTGGGTAAGCACAGTTGTAACTTCATAAACAACTTCATGCTTGCATCAGAATTTCTATGAACTGAAATGCAAAGTCCTTTCGCATCTTTTTACTGCTTTCATTACACTCCGCCTTTACACAGAGTATCCATTCAGGTCTATTTCTGATGAGCTGTATAATGCTGCACTCACTGCATCAAATAATTTCATTCTCACACCTTGTAGAGTTAATTATTTAGCAAAAACTACAATGATTACTTATTAAAAACTACAATAAGCAGAGGAATAAGTCATCAGCCTTCTTTAGTAGGAGAACACATATCAAGGCTACCTGGTATTTTCAACAGTTCAAATAGCTTTAATAGAACACTAGTAAATTTCTATCATTTGAACCCAGAGAGCACAAGTTTCACTTTGGTTGAGCAATCAATAGAAGCCATGTTTCTCAGGTTTGGTTTGTTTATACCTTATAAGCCTCCTTTCAATACTGAATGCATGTCACAGAAGCGCTGTGTATAATGAGTTTGAATTTCAAACAGAATATTATATTCTTTAACATTAGCATTCACATTGAATCACTTCACAGATGAATATTCTGCTATCTGACTCAAGCCTCTCATAATGAATGATACAAATAAGTACAATGAATAAGCAAAATAATTATGATTACGCATTTTTTGTCTCTTGCTTTCCATTTTCTGTCTTCAAAGAAATGTTGGTCTTTGTTTTAATATTGTATTTAATGTGTTTATATTCAGGAATGCCTGGGGAAAGAACTGAATCATTCTATGAATGTTGTCAGGAGCCATATCCTGCCGTAACCTTCACTGTTGTTATGAGACGCAGGACACTCTACTATGGATTAAACTTGCTCATTCCCTGTGTCCTTATCTCAGGCCTGGCTTTGCTGGTCTTCTTGCTACCTGCTGACTCCGGGGAGAAAATTTCTTTGGGTAAATTAAGATGAATCCAAATCATTCTTGAATGCTTTTAGCATCAGTTTTCAGTGCAACCTTGATTGTCTGGCACTCATTTTTTGTCTTGTAAGCAATCAATCTGTATCAATAATGTGATCTGATGTGTAATGGCTATGTAACCAGTAAGAGACGGTCACCCTCAGGTAACCTTATGTATCAATAGCACAATCAGACCTAAGTACAGAGATCTGAAATAATTAGATTGTCACTTTTGGAATATCTTTCCATATAAAAGCCATTTAGAATGTTTGACTGTGTTAAAGGTAATACTCTATTGGGGGTTAGTTTATCTACACCCAGGTCGGCCAGAGCAATGCTCTGTATAAGCGCAGTATCTCTTTCAATCAATCATTTGCAACAGTTATTTTGGAGTGAGGTTTGAAGAAGTATCGAAACAGAGGAAAAAAAAATTATTTCTCTCCGATATAATAAGCACGTTTAGCATTAAAGTGTTTTTCTTTGCAGGGATCACAGTTTTATTATCACTTACTGTCTTTATGCTCCTTGTGGCAGAGATCATGCCTGCAACTTCAGACTCTGTCCCATTAATTGGTAAGTTATAGTTAAGTAGTCTATGCATTATCCCTACCTGCAGGGATAGGTTAAGGGTCCAGGTAGGAGTGAAATATGAAATAATATCACTTTAAAGAGCAGGAATAATTTTTAAAAAAATGTTCTAATTATAGCTCATAAAATGCATCCATGCTTCAAGATATTTATTTATTTATTACTCTCATGTATCCAAGGCTTGGTATCCACCTTGATTGATATGCATAAAAGTAAGCAGCTGCTTACTTGCACCTGCTGTGCAAGCTCTACTCTTCCAACTGATGGAACCATTGCTCAAACAGTAGGGATGTGTGTCCTAACTGTGGGCAGGAAGATGATGGCAATGTTCTCATGCATTTCATGCTGAGATGTGCTGCGTGCCAGAAAGCTCTCTGAGAATAAACTTGCTATCTACCCAGTGAGGGCTCAAACCTGAGCTTATCAGTGTTGTGTTCTCAACAAACAATGTGTAGAACACTCTTTTATTTCAGCTCACAAATTGCAAATCCAAAACAGTCCAACCAAAAACCCTCTACTCAGTTCTCCCTACTTGCTGCTTTTCTACCTCCTGATCCCCTTCCATTGGTCCGAGTCAATTGATCCTTATTGTCTTAAGAGTATCCAACGATCAAATATCAAATGACCAACTTTTAACTATCCCCCCTCCTCCCTTGGGAATAGCCCAATTTTGTTGTTCACGTATGCAGCATTCCAAAATTGGAATTTTTGCATTTTCGGCCATGATGATGTGTGAAGTGGAATGTAAATCGGGCTTCCTGCTCTACTACTGGGAAGAGTATTGTTTGGCTCCCAGCAGTAGCACAGCACAAACTTGCACTGTTTTAATACCTGATATAATCTCGCTGTTACATTCATCAAAACACAAAGTGCCCAAATAATTAAGGCTTCACTAATTTTCTCATAATAAAATAGCTGTGCAATATGTGTAATGTTCAGAAAGTCTCCCCAGTCAATTTGCATCTTAGTCAAGGATAAGCTGTTTCCAGTGAGAGCAGATGTACGTTGTCTGCTTTAGTTTCTCTCCTCATCTCTCTGTGCATGTCTGATTTCTTTACAAGTATAGCTACCCTCATGTACATTCCTGTTGCAAATCTGTTTTGACAGAACAGCCAGAAGAACTGTAACCTATTTTTTGACCCATTGTCATATACCATTTCATTCAAAATTTGTTTTACCTAAAAAACGTGTTTCTAAATCTTGGGAGTTTCATTTCTGTTGTTTGATTCGTCAATTATCCCATTTCCCCCCCTTTTTTTAGATTATGGCATTTTTTATTCAACATTATTTATTAATGTACATGTTGTTTCTTTACAGCTCAATACTTTGCCAGCACTATGATCATTGTCGGTCTGTCAGTGGTTGTCACTGTTTTTGTGTTGCAATATCATCACCATGATCCAGATGGTGGCAAAATGCCGAATTGGGTAAGTGCTAATAAATCAGTAAACCTTTTTATCTTTCTAATGTACAGTCCAGCCCATAATAATAGTCCTTGCATTTGATGTAGCGCCAATCACATCGGGAGAAGATCTCACTGCGCTTCATAGAAATTACTGTAAAGTGTAATAATGCCATGTTTGGGACAAGGACAATGACACGCACAGTAATGTCACACACTATGTTCATGGCACTTTTATTAGAATAAAAAATAAAAAGAAACCATTCAAGATTTTCATAAATATAAACTTCCCTGAGATTATGAAAATTATTGCTACTTAGCTGTTGGTATCAGGGTATTTTTAGTTATTTAATTAATCAGAAATATTACTATCATTCACCATCATGATCCAATCCTCTGGAATTTCTCTTGAGCTTCACAGGATTTGCTGTAACGTGTAATAACAGTGGGATTTGTAGGTGAACATGGTAGCCAATTTGCAAACTCTGGAAAATATCCACGAGAACTCACAATCATCTGAGTCAATTATTTTTAGAGTCATAAAGTTATGTAAAAGAATAAATACGGAATTATAAAGAACACCCGATTCCTGGAACCCTGGGTGTATCTGGAACACAACAGTTGTTGTTGAATAGCGTAGGTTCCTCTAGATAGATGATAAGAGTTTTGTTCCACCCAGTTGATGTGTGGGTACATATACAGTATACTGAAGAAATTCTAACAATTTTGTTATTCGTTTATAGACTAGGAACATTTTGTTGAACTGGTGCGCCTGGTTTCTGCGCATGAAAAGACCAGGTGAGGATAAAGTTCGCTCAGCTTGTAATCAAAAGCAGCGACGATGCAGTGTGTCCAGTGTGGAGATGAATACTGTGCCTGGCCAGCAATCTGTCAATGGAAATCTACTCTATATTGGCTACAGGGGTATGGGAGGAATTCACTGCACCCCAACCACCGATGACTCGGGGGTCATCTGTGGTAGAATCGATTGCCCTCCAACGGAGGATGATCACTTAATCCACAACTGTCACCCTTCTGACCCAGAACTGTCTAAAATCTTGGATGAAGTAAGGTACATTGCCACCAGGTTTAGAGACCAAGATGAGAATGACTCTATATGTAATGAGTGGAAATTTGCAGCCTCTGTAGTAGACAGATTATGTCTTGTAGCTTTTTCTGTTTTCACGATCATCCTTACTATAGGTATTTTGATGTCTGCCCCAAACTTTGTTGAGGCAGTGTCCAAGGATTTTGCTTAACACATTACAATGTGCCACGAATTACACTAATACATCGTTGCTGTTCTATAATAAAGTGATGTTTTAAATGAAGAGGAAGAAATTGTGTATTGAATTTGAGGTGCATAGTCCAATGCTTGCCCTGTGAATGTTATGTGGGTCACAAAATGTGATCCCAAGTGCCATATTTAATGAAATTCACTAAAGTCAACTCTAATGAATTGGACACATGTCAAGTCTAAAGTGGATTAAACTCAAGCCTTCAAGTTATTTTTATTCTTGTGATCTTCTGGTTCACTTTGATTTCAAACTGATGATATCAAATGACAAAACATATAAGGTTCAAAAAACGCTCTTAATCTAATTTCACTTATTGCAAAAATCCTGTTTAGTTGTAAGACTCTTAAGAACAATATCTACTGCTGAACAAGCAAATATATAATAATAATCCATGCATTTGATGGAGCATCTTATCACATCATTGAAGCGTCTATATTGTAAAGTGGATTGACTGTGTATTTTGTGGGCAAAACATGGCATCCAATTGTGCACAGCACTGTCCCACAAACGGTTGTGGATTGAGTAACCAATTTGTTTTGAGGGATTATTACCCCCAGAATGCGATCCACCAATCAACTAACAACCAGGTTCCTAATTACTGCTAGGTAAACAGAGGTGTATGAAGTGAGGAAAGTTGCCTACGGTTCACCCTACCCAGGAAACAAACCCGGGTCTTCTCACTTGCCACTGTGCTATGGGAATCCACAAATAAAACACATGCTTGTTACATATATTTGTCTCATGACATTGTTCAGCTTGGATGGTTCTTTGCTGGTTCTTTGTTATAAACTACTTTAATAACTCAACACTGATGAGCAAAATTTTCTGGTGTGATAGTGGCATTGGTTCAATGTTTTAAGAGTAATAGCAATGCATATCATTTGGTTAAAATTCAGATGTATATTTTGTATTTTGTGTCTTGATAAGAGTTTGAGACGGTTAGATATTTTTCTACATTTTTGTATTGCCATTTATGGCATTTTCAAAATAACATTGTCCTAATATATCTATCATGAAATCTGTTTTCCCAAATAAAGATATTAACCAGCACCAAAAATTTCCCTTTTATACTTTAAGACTATCTCCTTGAATACCATCCCTTCTAAGATCACACTTAGGGATTTGCTGTACTATGAATTAGTTAGGACTTTACGTCTCTATTGAATTTGGACAAATCCACAAAACAAAAATGAAACTTTACATAGGAGACATCACCAGTAGTATTAATATAAAGGGAATCCAGTAGTTACCCCAGTGGTACCCCAATGCACAGTCTGAAGTTCCCACGCTTTGGCTCTTGCCAACCTGTGGCTAATACTCTCTGGAATTAGCTAAGCAGGATGTGTCCCTCCAGGGAGAGCACTCGCAATCACATTTCCAATAAACATTTCTGGAATTTCGACGTGTAGGTGGCATGCATGGAACTGTTTGGTTTGGCTACTCTTAAAGCAGAGTGATAGGTTGCCCCACGTGTCAGTCCCCCCACCGGCCCCTTTGAAGGCCTTATCTTAAGTTTCAAAAGTACTTCAATCTAAATCTGGTCACTCTGTTACCCCATAGGAGGTGAACGCGTGGTATTGGTGCACTTTGGGCTAACAAAATCGTGGATTAGTTTCTGGTAAACCCCTGGGGATGTTGTTGAGCTGCGGGGAGGTAAGCCTAAGCCTAATACATTCCAGAATTAGGTCAACAGGACACGTCCCACCGGGGGGGGGAGAGAGAGTGTGCATTTCGTTCCAACAATTTATCCTGGGGAATTTCCACGTGTCGGTGGGATCCCGGGTGGGTGAGGGGGAATTGCTGCGTGTGGGTGGGATCCCGGGTAGGGGGCGGGGGTGGGGAATTGCTGCGTGTGGGTGGGATCCCGGGGGGGGGGGGAATTGCCGCATGTGGGTGGGATTCCGGGGGGGGAATTGCCGCGTGTGGGTGGGATTCCGGGGGGGGAATTGCCGCGTGTGGGTGGGATCCCGGGTGGGGTGGGGGAGGGGGAATTGCCGCGTGTGGGTGGGATCCCGGGTGAGGTGGGGGGGGGGGAATCGCCGCGTGTGGGTGGGATCCCGGGTGAGGTGGGGGGGGGGAATCGGCGCGTGTGGGTGGGATCCCGGGTGAGGTGGGTGGGGGGGGAATCGCCGCGTGTGGGTGGGATCCCAGGTGAGGTGGGGGGGGGGGGAATCGGCGCGTGTGGGTGGGATCCCGGGTGAGGTGGGGGGGGGGGAATCGCCGCGTGTGGGTGGGATCCCGGGTGAGGTGGGGGGGGGGGAATCGGCGCGTGTGGGTGGGATCCCGGGTGAGGTGGGTGGGGGGGGAATCGCCGCGTGTGGGTGGGATCCCGGGTGAGGTGGGGGGGGGGGGGAATTACCGCGTGTGGGTGGGATCCCAGGTGAGGTGGGGGGGGGGAATCGGCGCGTGTGGGTGGGATCCCGGGTGGGGTGGGGGGGGGGGAATCGGCGCGTGTGGGTGGGATCCCGGGTGGGGGAGGCGGTAATCGCTGCGTGTGGGTGGGATCCCGGGTGGGGTGGGGTGGGGTGGGGGGTAATCGCTGTGTGTGGGTGGGATCCCGGGTGGGGTGGGGTGGGGTGGGGGGTAATCGCCGCGTGTGGGTGGGATCCCGGGTGGGGTGGGGTGGGGGTAATCGCTGCGTGTGGGTGGGATTCCAGGTGAGGTGGGTGGGGGGGAATCGCCGCGTGTGGGTGGGATCCCAGGTGAGGTGGGGGGGGGGAATCGGCGCGTGTGGGTGGGATCCCGGTGGGGTGGGGGATCGCCGGTGTGGGTGGGATCCGGGGGGGGGGGGGGGGAATCGCCGCGTGTGGGTGGATCCCGGGTGGGGTGGGGGGGGGGTAATCGCGCGTGTGGGTGGGATCCCAGGTGAGGTGGGTGGGGGGAATCGCCGCGTGTGGTGGGATCCAGGTGAGGTGGGGGGGGGGGAATCGGCGCGTGTGGGTGGGATCCCGGGTGGGGTGGGGGAATCGCCGCGTGTGGGGGGATCCCGGGTGGGGGGGGGGGGGGAATCGCCGCGTGTGGGTGGAATCCCGGGTGGGGTGGGTGGGGGGTAATCGCCGCGTGTGGGTGGGATCCCGGGTCGGGGGGGGATTGCATGTCATTCTCAGCTTGGGTTTGGAGACTCTGGAGCAAAGGCGATGGGTCTCACCACCTGCCAGACACACCCTGAGGCTCAGGGCCCCCCCCCCCACCCACTGAGGCTCAGGGCCCCCCCACCCGCCATATATATATTAAAAAAACTGAGCCACGGCGCATGCGCGGCAGTCTCACCGGATGTGGCTGTACACACACAGCGGCGGCGGCGGCCGTTGTTTGATCAGCAAAAGAGAAGGCGCTCGAGCGGCGGCCGAGCTCCCGCCTGGAGACCGGGAGGGAGAGAGGGGGGGGCCCCGCGGGGGGTGGGGGTAAGTGACAGCGGCGGCTTCACACTTCACCTTCCTCACAAAGGGCTTGATGTGGGGAGTGGTCAGTGCAGTGACCGACCGACCGGCCGGGCCCCGACTCCGGCCCTGTGCGACACTCGCTCAGCTCAGGCCGCTCCTCTCGGCTCCAGAGTCTTGTTGTTCTGTGTTTGTTGTTGCTGTTGTTGTTTTTTTGAGGGGGGGGACAGACAGACAGAGAGAGAGAGAGAGAGAGAGGAGACCCGGAGATCCAAACGGCACGAGTTGACGTTTAAAAGCCCAAACTCCTCGCTTTTACTCCCCTTTTGTTTTTCCGCACAGATCACTTTAACCCTCGACCCAGAACAAAATGTCGTCGGGAGAGTGAGCCCTGAGGGAGGGAGGGAGGGAGGGAGGGAGTCAGGTTAAGCTTCTTTGTGTGTGTGTGTGAGGGGGGAGGGGTAGGGGGTAGAGTGTTGGTATGAGCCCAGGGGGGAGAGGGAGAAAGTCAGGTTAAGCCTTTGTGTGTGTGTGTGTGTGTGTGTTTGGGGGGTGGGGGGGGGGATAGACTATCAGTATGAGCCTGGGGTTGGGGGAAGTGTATTCAGTATGTCAGTGTGAGCCCGTGACTTATTGCACATATTTTGTTGTCGGAAATGTTCTTGCAGGACCTTGTGAAGAGTTGTGGTTGATGCACGAGTCTTCAGATCACTGTATTGAAGGTGATAGGTCAGGACAGTGAGGGAAGCCTCAGACCTGTTAAACCGGTTCTCTTACGTGTCTCTAACATTGGCTGGTATTCTGAGTTGATTGCTTTTTAATGCTCTTTTTTTTAAAAAAAAAAGTTGAAACAACTTTGTGGTTTTATAAAACCATCGAAAATGCTAGAAAGCAGGGAACTGCCACGAGCAGTTGTGTCATTCCGACCCATACCCTGACGTCTGCTGCGATTGCTTTGCCTTTGGTTGGGGTGGGTGGGTGGGGGGGCGGGAGAGAGATTCCCTCGTGGGCTCGTGCACACACAATGTCGTGTCATTGACGCAGCGACATCAAATGCTAAGCTCATGCTCAGAGTGAAAAACTAGTAACCCCGAGGTTTCCAAATGGAAGTATTTGCAACTAGACTATAGAGTGAAGATTTCAGTATCAGTACCTGCTACTTTTTAGAACTCCCGAACTGTAATGGAAAATCAACAGCGCCACCAAAACGGTAGTGCTTTTGTTATTGATTTTTTAAAATCCAATAACCTTGTTGCAGCAGCCTCTGTTTGTAGTTGGATGATTAAATATTACAAGTAATATTGCAAAAAAAAACCTTTTGTTTTGTGTTTTACAGAATTTTTGTACCGCATTCCCTGGATTCTTCGATCATTATGGGTGAGATAAAGATCTCTCCCGATTACAACTGGTTCAGAAGTACAGTACCATTGAAAAGGGCAAGTCATGTTTTCTATTTAATCTGGTTACGTAAATGATCTGATTTACTTAGTACCTTGTGCTCTGTGTGCTTTCTTTATTTTTCATGAATGGGTAAATCCTTGACAAATCTGCAGCAGTATCTGTCACATGCTTTTGAGCCCTTTCAGGCTAAGCCTTAGTTTTTTTTTCAATTCAACTACAGTTCATCATTATAGTCTTGCAACTATGCTAAGTGTGACTGTCTCATGATAGTAATGACAGAAATATTAATTGGGCAACTGAGGGTGGGGGACAAAGCTGGAGGTGCTTGCAATGGAAGCTTCAACCAGAAACATCTCACAATGTTTTGTTCTAACTATCGTTCCTGTGACTGTGCTGCATTTTGCATAGATTTTAGTACCAGTCTATTTTTGATGAGAGAAAACAATTTTTGTTTGGGGATTTTAAAGTTGTTTCAACTCAGAGAATTTCTCAAAATATTTTGAAAAAATTATGTGGAAGCCTGAACTGGGAGGGAAGTTAGAGAGGGAGTAGAGAGATGAGTCTAGATGGATTTTGAAAGAAGGGAGGGAGTGAGCAGCTGGGAAGATTGATACAGTCAACACCTCGGGTGAGGATGCACGAGTGGGAGCTGATTAGAATGGCCTCAGTTTCGTTGACTTGAAGTAGTCTTCACAACAACTTGCATTTATTTAGCACTCTTTTGGCAGACTAGTGTCTTGGAGTCCTGCACAGTGATGGTTGGGGGAAGGGAGCGGTAATCATAGGCGCAGTTGAAGATCATGATGTGGCTGGAATAACTGGTGCATATCTGTAAGATTTTAATCTCCTTAATGCTTTGTTTAACTTTGGAAATGATGTGATACTGGAAGGATCTAGAGCTGAAAACCTGGTCTATCCATTTCTGTTCTCATTAAACTGGTTTGGGATGTTAACATCTGCTTAATGAATTTTTACTTTTTAATAACATTCCAAAAAAAGATCCTAACTAACATTCGTTCTTGCTGGTTCATTGGAACACAAGGGGCTTTTTCCAGGGCACTTGAGAGTAGAGGCTAAAGACATTTGGATGAGTATTTGGTGTGAATTGGCATTCTCCTTGAGTTGGTCGCAGCATCGAAGATCAGGGCTAAAGTGAGAGCAATGCAATCAATCTTTTACAAGTAGGTACCAAACCAGGCCTTGGGGAGAAAATGATCAATCCCATGCTTGAGTAAGTGTTGTGTGGGATGGAATAAGAAATGAGGCAAGTGCATTACATTTAGACCAAATGATGGATGGGTGTGAAAGAGTTGAGGGGGGGACATTTTGTTTTCGGCACAAAACTACAATAAGGGGATATTTACCAAGCAAGTACTTGCACTATGTGCCCATAGGTGATTTAAACCTCCGTTTGTTACAAATGTTTGATTAAAGTTGCAGTTTTAAAGTGTTTGAACTTCACTTTGATGAATCCAGCTGTTGCCAAAATCTGAATTATTTTATGTAGTGCCAGAAGGCAGAAAGCATAACTATATGTTCAGTTTAATTTATTGTGGAATAATAACTTGCTTTTCTTTTCTTCTCTTCCAATGTTACAGATAATAGTCGATGACGATGACAGTAAAGTCTGGTCTCTTTACGACGCAGGGCCAAGAAATCTAAGATGTCCCATTATATTTCTTCCACCTGTCAGTGGGACTGCAGATGTATTTTTTCAGCAGATTTTGGCCCTAACTTCATGGGGTTATAGGGTTATCTCAGTAAGTACATTTTGGTTGCTTTTCAAAACCAGTCTCGGTTCACTCTCTCTCATTATAGAAACCCATTCCTTTTTGGAAAGGGCCTTTTTTGGGACATTTGCTGGTTCCTGTGGCAATATCTGGTTTACTGGTACTGATTACAATCTGGGTATTAGCCAGACCATAGTTCTGCTAGCGTGCCACATTCTTTAGAATGTTGAAGCTAGGATTTGTGAGCTTTGAAAAGAGACATCTAGTTGTATGGTAGACTTTATGTGTGTTTATTTGTAGTACATTTGCAGTTTAACATGTGGGTCTTTATAGTGCATTATGATCAAGTGGTAATGTGTTTTGCTCTAAGAAAGCAGAACTTGTTGTGTGGGAGGATGGCAGGGTCACACTGGAAAATATAATTGCCCCATGTATTCTTCAGTGTACAAAATAAGCTGTTAAGCAATCCTTTAACCACTGGAACCAGTAGATGTGCTAATACCATAGTGGATTCAGGATGAAAATTCCATAAATTCTTCAAAAAAACTACAAAGGATTATGGAGCTACAAATTAATAAAGTTGCTATCTAGTAGTATCTGCTGTGGTTTGTGAAAATATAGGGATATAAGGTAGTTACTTAAGCCAGTAAGATTAGCACAATAATTACTTAAGTTCACACATTATTCAGTAGGTTGAGGCCTGCATTAATATATGCCCAAGGAACTTGCTGTGGTGAAGTCTAATGTAGAAGATGAATAAATAAGTCCATAGAAGCACCAATTCGCTAGGCCTTGTAGACTTTCAAAAATGCAGCTTTCTAAAATTGTAGAGTTGAATTAACTAATTTGTGTGAAAATATTATAAATTCACCTCTTGTTGATTTGTTATCCCACAAATGTAATTGTGTTGTGAATGACACTCTGAATTCAGTCTTTAATCTTACAGTTGCAATATCCAGTGTACTGGGATTTCCTTGAATTTTGTGATGGATTCCGGAAACTTCTGGATCATCTACAGCTGGATAAGGTACCTGTGAGAATTGTGTTCATTCCTGTGAGCTACTTGAAGTTAACCTTTATGTTTTAGATAAATTCAGAATTGCACAAACAAGCTCACTGCAAAGAAATGTTTCAGTAATTCTGACCCATGACCTAATTTATAAAGAAACTATCTTCAATATTAACTAATATCATTGAACTTTCTGATTGCTTTAGGTCCACATTTTTGGTGCTTCCTTGGGAGGATTTTTGGCTCAGAAGTTTGCAGAATATACTTATAAATCTCCTAGGGTCCATTCTCTTGTCCTCTGTAACACGTTCAGTGATACATCAATCTTTAACCAATCCTGGACTGCAAACAGGTAAGACACTGGTTCATTTTTAATATTTTGCTAAAGTGCTTAAAGTAATCAAATGTAAAATATAAAAAAATGTCACTCAATCTGCGACTGTTCATAGAACACTGCTGTGCACAATTGGCTGCCGTGTTCCACCCACAAATAACAGTATATTCTGTGAAGTGCTTTGAGACGTCTGGAAGACGCGATTAGGCGCTGTATCAAATGCAAGGATTATTATTCTATGGATTAATGGAAATTGAACAAACTTGCCCAAATGCAATGATTTCTGTGCTTTTATGGTAGAGGGGAGAAGTTTGAGGGAAGAAGTTCAGAGTTGGTGAAAGTACAAGGATAGTCTATTTACAGGTGCATTTAGTTAATTTCTTTTGGTGGGGGAGGGTTAAAGGGATATCTATACTTCTCCCCAGGGGATAGTGGTGGGATGAAGCGCATGTGATGGTAGATTTTTTGCGGCTGAGAAAGGAATGACCAGATGGATCCTGTCTTGTTCCTTGCTTTGTTACATAAACTAATGATTACTGTTGTTTTGATGTCTTAAATTCTGCAATTCCTGACTGGATTAGCATCTGTGCACTAGCAATGTGGTGTTTTTCTGGCTAAAATAGTTTTTATGTAATTTTTTTAGATATTGTGCATCATTCTATCAAATGCAAGTTGGACTAACATTTGACAACAATTTTTTGGTTTAGTTTTTGGCTGATGCCAGGATTTATGCTGAAAAAGATTGTTCTTGGAAACTTTGCAACTGGCCCAGTGGATCCAAAAATGGCAGATGCAATTGATTTCATGGTTGATCGGGTAAGCAAAGCTTAAAATATGAAATACTGAGCAAAGCTGAAGATATATATACAAACATCTTTCTAGGGAGTGATCTAAGGCTGTGCTATAAATAACACCAAGCTAATCTGTTAGCTATAAAGCCACCAGTCTTTTGTGCTCTACAATATAATATGGACTAAAGAAAGGTATAATACAGTACTTAATTATACCGTTTTGCCCATAGTATCAAAGCATTGCAAAATAAAAAATTTCCGGTGGGTTTGGGACTAGGAAGTATTGCTTACTCAAGTTTTTGATAATATTTTGTGTGAAGAGTATCTTTTACAATTCTAAAGCTAGCCAGAACTTACCTAAATGGTGTAATTTGTACAAAAATAACATGGTCATTTTTGGAATAAAAGAATTATACTTGTATTGGTTATTCCTGACACTTTTCCCCCCAACTTCATTCTCTCAACTTTCTTCACTAACAGTTGGAGAGCTTAGGACAGGGAGAACTGGCCTCTCGTCTCACTCTTAATTGCCAGAATTCCTATGTGGAGCCTCACAAAATCAAAGATATTGCAGTAACTATAATGGATGTAAGTGTCTTTTGTTTTACGTTGCGGGTGGTAAATGCTATTAACTGGTTTCCACTTCATTGCATTGTTTTTTTACTCTTTGAAACATTTGAATTAATATTGCTTGCAGTCTAGAATTCAGTTGAGAATGTTTAGAACTCAGTTTTATGAGTAAATTGGGAATCTAAAGGAACTCTACCTGTGACATTGTGGTAGCCCGGTTGGGCTGGTTATGTAGTATTTGCCAAGCCATCGTCAAAATGAAGGCTCTGAGATCAAAAGGGTTCGCAGCTAAAAAGGGAACATTGGAAATTGATCTTCAGTGTGGTGAAGCTTTCTCACACCCTGATTAGAGGAAGAACTGTCAATGCATTATTTTCCAACTTCTATGAACGCACTGCAAGCGTCCCAAATTCTGATTGTATTTCAGGTGTTTGACCACAGTGCCCTTTCTCAAGAAGCCAAAGAGGAGATGTACAAATTGTATCCAAATGCGAGACGAGCCCACCTTAAAACTGGTGGAAACTTTCCATATTTGTGCAGGAGTGCTGAAGTCAATCTTTACGTACAGGTGAGAACCAATTGTTAGTGAGTTATTGCTATGTTATATGACAGATATTGCAGATAGTGCTTTTGCTACTTTTGTATTGCTTGGATAAACACAAGGTGTAACTTCCTCCTTTTGTATGTAAAATTGGTTTAAAGTATGGGTACAGCTGTAAATAAAGCAGATTCAGCTTTTATTGTAATATGCCCAAAATACATGGCGATGAGCTGGTGTTTTATGCTACTTCCTCATCACATCTTGAACACAATTTGTGAAAGATTTTTGAACGCAATAATTTATTGTTAAAATTGTTAACATGGTAGTTAACAATGTTTAAGTCAGCAGCCACCACAGATATATTGGCTAAAAATATTTGGCAGTAAATAGCTAAAATATAATTTTGTAGTTTAATTTAGTAAATTGTTTAAAAATATTTATGTATTGCTATCATTTAATCAGTTACTTTATCTAACTTGGATCAGTTTGTTTGTAACTTCTTATTCTACAAATTCAAAAAGCTTCTCATCATCTATTGATAACATTTCATGTTGTGCTTCTGTAACAGTACAATGAAATGTTTTTTGTTTGTAAATACACCTTACAACTCCTAAAACGTTTTCAAGCAGTTTAACAAAACTTAAATATTTTTAGATACATCTGCGGCAGTTTCATGGCACAAAGTACGCTGCGATTGATCCAACCATGGTGAGTGCAGAAGAACTAGAGGTGCACAAAGCCAGCTTTGAGGAAGAGCTGTAGCCTTCTTTCACCCTCCCTTCCATCGAAAAGGGGAACCTCTCTACATGAAACTTATGAACAGTTAATTGTGCAACTCCCATTTTTTTTAAAAAAAGAAGCCTTCAGAATGAAGCTAGTTTTGTGACCTGAAAATGAGGATTTCATTTCCATTTCTTGCGATTTCAGGTCTTAAATTGAACGCAAATTTAGTGTTCTGAAAGTATCACTGATATCAAGTAGTTTCTGAGCATGCTGCTTGGAGAGTATTTGTTTTTTTTATAATCCAAACTATGCAACCAAACCAATAGTACCAACAAGTCACAGTAGTACTGTGAAAACAAATCTTTGTTTATAACATTAGTTTCTTTGAATACAAGTTTCAAAATACTGTGTGCAGTTGTGCCTCACATAGACTTAATTCTGCTTAAGAATAAGTTTGCACTTTTTGTTTTTGATTCATTTGGTTTCTTTTTTGCTCATCCCTTTAACATGACCAGTACCTGTATTGAAATTGCAATTTGCACATGATCTGAATGCCTTTTGATCACTGAATTCATAATTTCACTGGAATATTTTGTAATATTTTATTTAGATCTGAAGGGGCAATGTTGGAATTTGATTTTTGTATTTTTAATTTGATTTCCGATTGCAAAAATATTTTAAGTGTTTTTTTAAAGGTTGCCATAATTTGAAGTTTACATTATAAATACTGTTGATTAAAATGTGTTGTTTCGTCAATTTGGTTATACTTTGCCCTTGAATTCAATGTACCTGTTTGTAATCAGAACCTTTGATGTAATTCATGTAAAACATGAAAATCTTTGGCTGTATATATCGCACTTTGTATTTTGCTGTAATACCAATTTTTAAAATTGTGGATGAAATGTAAATAAAATGTTAGTCATTTGCCTAAATTTATTGGCCTTATTAATTGAAGCCAAAGTTTTAAGCAATATTTATATTTGTTAGAAAAATTAACCCCAGACAAGGACTGTACTTCTATGCACTTTTTCCTTCTGAACTATTTCACCCACGAAACACAGTTAATTCACTTTTCAATATATTCTCTGAAGCGCTTTGGGATGTCTCAACGAAGTGATTAGGCACTATATCAAATGCAAGGATTATTTATTACTATTCTTTCAGAAAAAGTAGGTGTTCTGTGAATGAGTTGGATGTGAATAGAATCCAAAATTTAAAACAACATTTTCGTAGATTTTTTTTAGCCAAATTCTGCTACTGGTTAAATGGTTTTGTTCAGATTGACCCACTAGTGCTCTATAATTGATGTAATGTAACTTATGCAATTTAAATAAACATGATGGACCAGAAAAGGGGGCCGCTTCAATGGAATGTTTTCCTTCATTTATTTTTTAAAAATTACTTTGATCAATTTTAAGCAAGTTTGACATTTTTTTGTAATGAACAGAAATCTTTGAACAGATTTGACTTGACCATTGGTCTTGAATTCTGCCCTATCTCCATCTAACACGCCAGGATAAAATGATTAAGAACACAACTGTGAAAACTTTTTCAGCACATCCTTTTCAGCATATTAAATGCAAGGATTGTTATTATCCAAGTCTCCTCTTCCACAGCTTGTGTGCAGTTTGCACAATTGACTGGTGTGTTTTGCCCACAAAATGTATACAGTAAATTGACTTTACAGTATATTCTATGAAGTGCTTTGATGTCTTGCAGATGTGATAAGGTGCTGTATCAAATCCAATTATTATTAATCCCATCCAATTAATTTCCTGAGAGAAGGCTGTCAATATTCATAAATACTAACAATTCGCTGTCCTTACCGCACACACTTGCTGCCTCAATTTCGCATGTTGAGAATATGTTCTTCAGTACATAATGCACCACTCTGAGAAGTCTACAGTCTCCCTTAAGGCTCATTTTAATTTTTAAACCAGTGCTGCATCATTCTCTGCTTGCAGGTCAAAAGTCAGATAACCATCTTTCATCATTGCTGCCTTCCAACAATTTTTTTTAAGTCTTATACCATGTCTCGTTCTAATATTTTCTCCAGTGGAAACTGATGCAGTTTGATGAGTCTCATAGTTTAATGTATCAAGTCCTAGGATCATTCATGCTCATTAGCTTTCTGAGAACTGCCTGATGTAATTCATTTGCTGATAACCCAACAGCTTTAGTGAATGGTCATTGCATTCCAAACCTATTCCAATTTAGCTAATTGTTACTTTTCATTGTGTGAACCTGTTAAGTGCAGATGCTGGATTGGTTGCCTTTTGCTATTCTGCAGTCAGTATTTGCCTTTCTGCAGTCTAACACCATTGTTAAATTTCAGTTCTAAGAAAGCAGCTGGAGGTGGGGCAAAGGTAAGAGTTCATTCAATCTTTGGTTTGGTGATGCTGTTTGCTTCAAAGAAGAAATTGATGAACAGGACTCTGCTTTGGGAAATGGGCTGCCTAGCTACAAATAAATATAATCCGTTATCTTTTTAGGATTTCACAATGTCTACCTCCTTTGACTATAGCCACTTATTAATGCTGTACAGATTAGGTAGTCAGGATTCCTCATTGAGATTCATCGGCAGCAAAATCTGCCTACCAGGAATCAAACCCAGGTTTCTCGCTTGCGAAGCGAGTGCTCTAACCACTGAACTACAGGATTCCACAATAGTGTTTGCCTACAGGAAACAACTCGGAAGACGAATGTGAAGTTGCAAAACCCTGTTCTGCTTCCACCCGGAATAATGTGTTCGATTTTAGTCTCCATTTTGTACTTATTATAAGTCAAGGCATCTTAGTGCTGGAGGTGTTTCAGTGAAGGGTGAGAAAATTCATAGCTGGATGCCTGATTTGTAAGGAAAGGCTGCATTAGGTAGGAGTGATTTGTGAAGAAATCGATTGAAGATTTTAGAGATGGAACATTGCAAGATCTTTTTGCTTTGATGGCATGTCCCCAAAGTAAAAAATGGGCCTGTTCATCCCTCTGCCTTCTTCTGTTTATACCACTCAGGAGACATAGCCACTGGCTTCTGGCCATTGGATTTAATTTTACTCGTCGTATGTTGTGAGTCAGAATATCCATTTGTATCATCTATCCCCTGAAGTCTATTGCTACTTGGGACTGACCCGATTTTCAGAGTGAAAAGCTTTTTTCTAAAAAACGAAATATGATTTGCAGCCAAACCCTAAAACACTATCAAAGTCCTTTGAGCTTCTATCAGAACTGGGCAAAATGTTCAATAGACTTTCTGAAACGCTTCGCTGCATTTGCAGATTATGTGCTGCACACGTTTAACTTGAAATGTTGCATGAAGCGTATGTATGTAAGTATCTTTGTCATGTTTTCCTATACAGACTTGCTGAGATATTCCAGCTCTTAATTGAGTCCTAAAAGCTTGTGTATAGCCTGTATAGCTGCAGCCCAAACAGCCTGGACAATGAGTTGATTTAGTACTGGACTAAATGCAATGTAATGTGACCAACAACTGATGATGAGCAGAGGCAATTGTCTGTAACCTTTATGTGCTGCATTCTCTTTGCTCTCAAATAACAAAACAAATCCTCCAAAAGCTGAGAAAGGTTTATTTATAAATAGTTAGCGATAATTTAAAAATAAACTTCCTGCTGTTTTATTTTTGTAATCAATGAAGTGGTCGTGAAGAGCTTTTATTTCCTTGAAGAATTTACAATGAGGGGAAATTGGAGTGATCAATCCTATTTATTTAAATGGGAAAGATCCCGTAATTTCAGTACCAAACATAATAAAAATTATTTACATTTCAGTGTACAGTACAAGTGTAGTGCAGTAATTAGTTTATCCTCTCTCCGCAAGTTATCAGACTGATATCAGTTCAAAAGGAAATGTACGTCCAGTGTAAGCAGCTGGTAATGGACTTGTTTAACAATTCACAATGTATGTATAGTACAGGGCTCTGTGATACAAAATGGACCAATTTGACTCTACCTTATTTGTCTACAACCAAATCCATATTACCTTTACTTTAAGCACACCTTAAATACTTGTAGTTACTTATCAAGTAGACAAGGCAGCATGAGGACAATAGGCCTTTGTATTTAACCAAAGATAAAAACACATATTGAATATACTTATAATATTATGATATATAACGTGAATGATTTAAGACTACACCCGTGAATTGTTTGCAGAATAAGACTTTAGGTGACTTCTGATCCATTTGTTTTTACCTTTTTAAAACATCAAAGGCTCCAAACTAATGGCACCCACATATATATATTCACACACACACATACACAGGTATAAACATTCTTATCGTGTTTTTTGGCGGTTTAACGTCTGGGTTTGGTGGCCAGAGAAATAAAGAGCTTTTGTTTGATCTTAATGTTGAAAGTTGATTTTTTTTTGCTTGTCTGGGAAGAAAAGCATATTTCATCATCTGATGTCAGTCAGCTCTTAAAATGCTCTTAATACCCACAAAGTATTGACGCAGGCAATAAATTGTGATCAACTGGCTATTCAGCACAATAAAAGCACATGAATCATTTTGCTTTGTGCCTTCATAGCTGTGACTGAGTCATCTCCATCTCCTGTTAACCCACGTACTGAGTGGGAAGCCAACTCAGTTGTCAGTTTTCAAAAGTGATTACTTGCAATTAATTACATTGTTGTACATTTCTTGGGGGAATTGGTGTCTGCATTTGCTTTCCTTCGGAAGCTTTCTGTAAAGGAGAATCAAGTCAATCAACTATTTTTGTAAATAAATGCATGAAATTGCTTTTAAATAATACGGTTAAGCTTTGTTTAAGCAACATGACTTATTCCTGCCCGATATATTTCTTATTTGTTATATTTATTTTTACCCAGTCACTTGATTTGCTGCATTTCTGAGCTGCTTCAAAAGCTTGGGTGGTTGGAAACCATTAAGCGTTCAGCTCTTTAATGACATGCAAATCTAACAAGCGTTCCGCACCAGTTAAGAAGAGCTTTGTGCATGAACATAGTTACATTAGAGCTCTGCTCAGCGAAAGAGATTCTTAAGTAGGAAATATAAATTCTGTTTCCTGTTTATAAGCACTTTAAATGAGGCATATGATAAGATAAATAAATAACTGCTGTTCCTTACCAGCTAGATCCTTCCTTCCAATCCCCACTAAGCCTTCATAAAGTCCTTTAATTGGATTTTCTGCTGCCATAATAACACCATGAAGCCAGATCAGCAGCATTCTGTGACCATGTTCTTTATAGCTTTTATAACCTGTTTTTTTATACAAAAGTGTTCAAAGTAAACATTAAAGATTTAGAGTTGCATCAAAATAAATTCACCTGAATGGAACAAAACGACTTTTTCAAAATCACCGTTCTTCACCTTCCTTGCAAACATTGTAAAATCCACTCCCCCGCCCCCATCCCCAGTGAGTTTGGAAATGGCACAATTTGCATGTAGTACAAAGCTTTTCAAAGGAATAAACCGGCATCCACATTGCATTCTGAAAAGCTGAGGTTTCCCACCTGTCCACTGTTGTTCGATAGCTCTAATGTGTGCGTCAGTAAACTTCCAATAGCAACTCAGTTTTTTCCACTCGTTTGGTTTGAGGTATTTTGTGGCTAATCTCCACAACACTGAGCGAATGTGCTCAGTTTCTAATCTGTGGTCTTGTTTGAACGTCAGAAGTACTCCAACCCAGGGATCCGAATCACCGTTTGGGTTATCCTGAAATGAACACAAAACGGAGTAACCATATTTAACCTCGAATTTAAGTTATTATAAAACAAAGCTATTTTCATGCCTGGGCTCCGCAGTACAGTATCAGGATTGTGATGCTGACTTACGCACCTGGTTTACACTGCGGATGAGAGAAGGTGTATGTCATAATTAGAGCCTGGAATTCTGGAATACAGTAGGTTTGCTGCAAGTGTAATAGTTTACACCCAATTCTAACCTCGTAAAATCTATCTTTTCGTTATTGGTGAGGTTAGGCCCCACTCAACCCCATTAACCGAATTAGACTAAATTATGTTCCACTAGGGAATGAGGGTTGTCCCCACAGACAAACCCTTAGCCCCACCGCCGCCCCCCCCAAACTCTCTAGGCCCAAATTGTCAAAGAACAATTCAGAGACCTGATGTTTGTCTTCACAACCACCTGAGCTGGTCAGGTGACTGGATGGCCTCTCCGACAGGACAAGCCTGGCCTGAGCCAAGTGACCAAGCGAGCTCTGCATTCCAGTTACTCTGTGAGAGCAGATCAAACTCCTCAGATCAGAAGTACTCCAATACCAATCCCAGCCAACAGAGGGCTGAAAGCGTAGCTGTTGCCAGGAACTCAATCCTTCTCATAAAGCCCAATTATGGATGAGAATCATCATGGACATATAAACCCAAGCAAATCTCAACTGTTGCTCTGGATGGAGCTCGCTACTTCACAAGGGAGAAACAGTAACAAGTACCATTGTCAACTTTGGAGAATGACAGAACTCAAATAACTGTAGCAGTCTATGATCTATCTTAGACAGTCCCATTCCTCTAATTCAAAGGCAGTGGCTAAAGTGGTTAAGCTTAAACTTTGAATTGTGTTCTCAGTTTTGCAGTGTGTTATTGAGGTACAGATATTGTCCATGTGGATTGCAGTATTTCACGTTACACATGCTGTGCAACAAGAGGCTTTACCTTTTCCCATTTGTAAAATCTGTCAGCTTTGATAATCATATCCACTAAATTGACATTGTTCCCACGAGCAGCCACATCTAATGAGGTTTTCCCTTGCTGAAATTGAAGGGAGGGAAAAATCAAATGCATTTCACAACAAAAAGTCGGGTCTCTTCAAATCAATCAACTGAAAACTGAAATCACTCGCTGGATATTTTAAAGGAAAAGAAGGGAAATATGAACAAATTAACAATAGCTGTTTTAGCTCCATACACGCTACACTGCTTAGAAGCTGATTGGAACGTGACTAATCTTGAATAAACATGTGTCTTTGACAGCAGATTGCTTTATTTACCAGGTAATCATGAAGGATGGCAAGCAGTGCGCAGACAAATTCTGAAAAGTAACTAATGAACCACTTGCCTGGTTGTGTGTTTGATGGATATTCATCTTTACTGTTCCTCGATTCACATACCTACCAAATGTCAAGAAAGCCCTAGACTAGCTGTTCTAATTGGCTGGCAAAGGTCAGTGAGCATCTCAATAGAAAATGAATCTGTAATGAATTAATTCTATACAAACCAGTTACAATGAGTTGCTATTTTTCCTTTCAACTGGATTCAATCTGCAATCGTTCCCCATTATATTTAGTCAAACTTCACTTACCCCATTTGTCGATCAACTTGAAATGAGGCTCTAAAATCGAGCTCAATTCAATGTGTAGTAGAAGTTAAGTCACACATGCCACTGACTTGTTTTAACAGATAAAATGACTCCAGATAACATTCCACCAAATTGGGAACAGTTACTAGAAATCTGTAGAAAGCTAACACACATTGTCACTGTTTGCTTTTAGTTCTGGGATGTTTTTTTTAAAAAGAAAATTGTTTCCAAATCTTTTTGACTGCTAATGTGCATTTGTGTTCTGTCTGCTCAGCTCAGTTACTGCTACACTCTCAAACCCTCCGGGCATTTATTTTGGCCCATTCCTACAGAGAGGAGACAGTCATTTTGTGTTGTATAGATTTTCCAACCCAATTATAAGGTGATCCTAATTTTATAATCTTGCATTCTAAAATAGCCCAGAAGGTTGTACGTTCTACTACCTTTACCTGGTTCAAAATCAATCGTGTCCAGGACAGTAAATATTTCCACTGGGGACCTGGCAGGTAATAGTGATAGCCGAACAGCTTCCTGTGCTTATACTTTAAAAATTGACAGCCAGGCCAACACTACATTCATCCAAATGCTAGACTAGACATCTTGCAAGGTTGTTTTTCAGCTCATTAGGTTTTATTGAGCAAATCAATATTGTACATAAAACTAATATTTCTCACATCAAATGGATAAAGTTAAAAGCTGCAAATTCATTGAGGGAATTGTCGTACAAAGAATAACTGCAAACTTTGAAACAATTGAAAATGTTGGTGAGAAATATAAAGTGCAATCACCTTATCAACCAGTTTTAAGTTTACGCCTGCCATCAGGATTATTTCCGCAATGTCCTGCCTGCTGTTCTCTGCTGCTATATGAAGTGCTGTCTGCTGCCTCTGTAGGAAACATAATAGCAGTGGTTGAGTGCTCCATTCTCACACTGACATTCATGACAAAGGGAGAGGAGGTGGAGGCTTTTTTTTAATGCAGAGGGTTGTTCAGACTGAAGCAGATTTGATATTAGCTCTTAAGAAGTTATTAGATAAATATCTGAATAGAAGAAATATAAAAGGGCATGGGAAGAGGGCAGAGAATGGGATTAAGTGGATATCTGTTTCAGGGAGACTGCATAGGCATGACTGGCTGAACAGTCTCCTTTGCTGTAGATTTCCATCGGTATGATATGTGCTGGTGATTGAGCTTTGTCAATAGGAAGACTTTTCTTAGAAAAAACAAATTAATAATAATAATCCTTGCATTTGATATAGCACCTTATGTCATTGAGATGTCACAAAGCGCTTCACAGGATAGATTGTAAAGTAGATTGACTGGGTGAAACGCACAGCCAATTACGCAATGTCCCACAAACAGTAGTGGATTGAGTGACTAATTTGTTTTGAGGGAATATTTCAACAATAACAATAGCACTGTTTATAACTCCCTCTAAATTATGTGATCAATGCTCTTGATGATAATCCCACTGTGAAAGGCTTTTGCAATGTTTCGGTATTCCGGGTTCTTTACGAAATGTAAAGATTTTTAAAAAAAAATTAACTTAATCTTTAATACTCAGATATTATCGGGCAGGAAACAGCAAAAATCTGACACAAACAGACTTGTAGAAGGTAAAATCTTACATAATCAGCGAAATCCAAGTCGCACTCGGCATCAATCAGCAGCTTGACAATGAAGCTGTGATTATGCAGCACTGCCAGATGCATTGGAGTGGTATGATGCTGCAAAATAAAGACCAATATATAACCATTAGTTATCATTTAATACTAAATGATAGACAGTATTGAGGGTAAAGTCTGAGGCTTTTCCAAATGAGTTCTGTTTTTTACTTGTGCTGCTGCAACTTTTAGGAATGCTTTTAAAATTTTGAACTGTAGAGAATTATAGCACAGAAGGTGGCTGTTCAGTCACCAGATAATAGGATTGTTTTTTTTCCCCCTTGGCACGGCATACCACATACTGACAATCCTCTGCGTAAAAACATTCTGTTTGCAATTAAACGTTTTTTTTATGCTGGTGAAAAGCTATTGTAAGACAGCACACAGTGACAGTGTCCCATTCCTTTCTGGGCTTTTATTTTCGACCTGATACACTGACACTTTTGTTTTTTTTCCCCACTTTGAAATGACTGGCTAAAGGGCCCATTGGGGAGTCAGTCAGATAAATGACACCTAACATGGCCTACAATTTAAGAAAATATGTTTTAATGAAGATCAGTGTCTAATGCAGATCAGGTTTAGGAATGGAATGCATTTGGGAGCGTCGCAAATTTTAGCCTATTGTTTTGTAATATGAATATTTGTGTCAATTTAAGTAGAACATTAAATAATCAGCCATATGCTTTAATTAACATAGAAAAAAACAATTTGTGTACATTTAACACAGTTATGGTTATGAGATTCACATTAGAAAGAGATTAATAATAAAGATGACTGTAGAGTTACCAAGTTCTTCTTTCCTAACGAAGTAGTTGAGAAACAGAGACTGCTTTAATATTTTATAATATGCTGACCTAATCCTTGGGCTATTTGCATTAACACTGTGTTGCTGTCTTTCTGCTTTGTCTGAATTGCTCCCTTCACTATCAATTTTTTTGAAAACATGCTTCTGTATGAGAAGCTTGATGTCTTGGGAGGGAGGGAAATTCTGTATTTTTTTACAAAGGAAATTTTATATCTGAATTATTGCAACTTGTTGATCTGGTAGAGGATCTTCAATTGAAATCCTGACGTTATTTAGGTGTCTTGTTTCACTGTTTTGCCACAACTTGTACTACAGTGCCAACATCCTCAGTGGCCAACATGGCAGACTTTCAGCTGGTCTTTTTTGAGCTGTCTGTTTACCTTTGTGAGGAATTGAGCCTTCTTTAGAGAAATACACCCTGTACAACAACCATACCCTTCTTCCCTTCCATTATGTAACGTTAGACATTAAGCCTCACCTTGTAGCTGTAATTAAGATTGACAGTACGCAAAACACAGCACAGTATTTTCTGAAGACAGAAAAACAGTTTCCCACACTCACATGATTAACCGCATCAGTGTTTATTTCTGCCTCAATAAGCAGCTGGGCAACTTTTTCATGGCCATGTTGTGCAGCATAATGGAGAGCATTCATCGACTTCTGTTAATAAAATCAAATTATCTTTGATTACTTACAACAAAAGTGACAGATTCTGTGGTGTTCAACATTTAATAAGGCAAGATGTTTATATCCTGTGTTTAACCCTTTATGGTGGAGCTTTTAAATCTAAATGAGGAAGGGTGTAGGGACTACTGGGTTCAGGAATTGCATGGTGGAATCCTATGGATCACCCATATTCACCTACAGAGAGTTATAGAATTAACCTGTGAAGTGCTTGGAGACATTTTGACGTTATAAGCACAACATCCAAAGGAAAGATTATTATTACTACTAATCTATCACTCCCTCTCAGTAGCAGTTTGGTATTAGTAGTGATAATTGCATTTCTATTTGCAAATACTGTCAGCCATCCAACTGGTGAAATTTGCAAAATGTCTCTTTATGAAATCTGAAAATCTACAAAATGAGTGAGTGTGAGAAGGCAGAGATATATCTGAAAAGCAAAACAGCCTGATTTCACGTGAGAGAATAGTGATTTATTTTTTAAAAATTGAAATAACTATACAATGAATTGCATTTGAGTAGGTAAGCTATGAAAAGCACCTGAAGGTAAAACTGAATGAGGCCTATTATTCTCAGTGTTTAGACGACTGGGTCTATTTTAATTGGATTGCTAAAAATAATGATCTCTTCACTACGTCTATTATAATGGAATGCATAATATGTGGTTCCATCCATCAATGTTTAACCTTCTAACGCAAAGCCCCATCCCTGATATCAGAATCAATGCCAATGACCATGAATTGACTGTCGAATCTCGATCTTCCTGTCAGGCCGCCCTGAGCCTTGAAAAGCCCATTAGTGAATAAAGATTTACAGATTTTGGACCTTTTTATTTAAAACTTAAGAGAACTGCATTGTGATGAACACGAACATAGGAGATGGATGGAATGCTAACGTTTTAATAAATGAATCGCGACTCACATCTGTCTGCATGTTCACATCACTTCCACCTTCTAAAAGCAGTTTTACACAGTCATAATGACCCTCTTCAGCTGCTAAATGCAAGGCTATTTGACCTTCCTGTAAAGAGAAAAATATGTAAGGAATGTCTAATGAAAAAACAGTTGATAGCAGTGCACTGAAATTGCATTTGATTTTGTTGGATCACACTTAAAAGAAATTAACTTAATGCTGTGTAATAAAGCACATCCCTTCTGAATATTTCACATAAGTGCTTTTATGAAATTATACTACCATATTGTTTGTGATTCTGAAATATTTTCAAGCATAAAGCTATGGACAGCACGTTCCTAATTCATAATTCTTTCAAATTCTAACTCATTTAACCAAATTTATGCTCATTTGAATCGAGCTGAGACAGTTCATCTTATTGGCTAACCTCCAGTCATCCATCCTCCCTGCTATTGTACTTTTCTCTCACTGTAGCCCTAGGGCAGCTATATTAAAATAGATTGTTAATCATGAAGTACTGTGGTGGCAAATTTGTTTGCACATTTTAACTGGAGTTGAGAAAAAAACCTCACTCACCTGGTTCTTCTCATTCAGCTCCACTGCAGTTTCAATTATTTTCTGTAGTACTTCAGCATGTCCATTTCTGGCACTTAAATGAAGGGCTGTGTTCTTTTCCTACAAAAAAAAGGGATTGATTGACTAGAGGGCATCAATCGGCATAGCTAGCAAGGCAGCGAAGGGGAGATTTTTTAGATTTTTTTTACATACACACACACACACACACACACAGTTGTGAATTACTCTCCTGGGTGCAGTGGTTGGGGCAGGATCCATATTAGCTCTCCAGAGGAAACAAGATAGATATCTAGAAAGGAATGAACTGCAGGCGAATGCGGAAACATTTATTTCCGTCTCTCCAACCTGCAAAAGATTCCAACAGTGGCTACAGAATAAATAGACCGAAGTTTGCCCTTACCTTGTCTTTCAAGCCGTGGGTACAGCCGGAACCAATTAAGAATTCAACCACTTCAAGTTTGCCATGACTAGCGGCAAGGTGAAGTGGCGTTCGACCCATCTGTAAGAAACAAGTTATTGTCAGAAGATGGAAATGGCAAGTGTAAACCTAGCAAATGTCATGTTGACAATGAAAGCCTCGAAAAATTAAGCACTCAATCGAGTTGTTTTTCAAGCATTTTTAAGGGGTGTTATGTTGAACGCAAGACAGTTTCCAAAGTTTTATTTTGTCCAACGGAAGGATATCCTTGATGTTTGACGATTGCCTCAGGTCACCAGCCGGGATGAATTATTCAACTCCTTTCAAATAAGCACAATGCTGCTTGTGAAAACATGGTGCTACGGCTTGCTTCAATGCAGTTGAGAAATACGATTGCTGCCGGGGATTCACAATTGGGAGTCCGCACCCAGAAACAAAACACAAAACCTTTATACTTCATTCACTAGGTCCAATCTGAGACACAACATGGATCATAAGCAGGAGAGAGAATCTGATCAGAGAAATGAATCAATAAGCAGTTCCGTGGGGGGAGAGGGGAGAGAGAGAATAATAGTGGAAGGAGAACGAATGAATAACTCACAAAAATAGAACCTGTTCAATTAATTAGTCTGTAGAAAAAAAATTGTACAATAAATCAATAAGGTTGAGAAACTAACCAATAGCACTAGTTGGTGATCTCCTCAGAAGGTCTATTGGGAAAATGCTTTTACTTTCGCTGTACAAAACGCAGGAAATTTTCTGGAAGGAAACCGAGAGTCTTGGGCACATTTTGTGTACTTAAACATTCCCTGGGGACACAGACACTGCAAGAGGCAACAACCGATACCAAGTTTCTATCAGGATCACACAACTCAAGACACCTTCTGGGATGGTGAATACTTTCTAAATCTCTGACCAAACTAGAAATGGAAAAGCCATTTATTCAAGATTTGTCTTTGTCAAATACACAAAGACGACACTGAAATAGCATTTCTCACCAGTCACTCAGCATCCCCAATCAAGTAGGTTTAGGCTTGAAGATACAAATGCCAGAAAGAGCTCAGGTACTTATGCGAGCATGAAAATATATACCTATACATTGAAAGGGCACAAAAATGTTGCTCACACAACTACAGGCTGCTTTTCTTCAGTTTTTAGTTCTTTGTGTCCTACTGTTTGTGAATCATGTTGGCAAGAACAAGTTGGCAAAGGCAGTTTATTCAGAAAATAGGTCAGAGTGAGAGAGTGAAAGAGAGAGAGAGAGAGATTCAAATTGGACATGAGTAAGAGGCTGGTCCCAAAGCAGATACGTGATTGCTGTGAACATTTGGAGGTGCCGTAGGTTTGAGGCTGAAGGAGCAGATCAGTGAACACGGAACAAAATATTTTATTTAATTTTCAAGTAGATTAAATAAAAGTTGTAATTAGTTCAAGTGGAACAGCTATTTTTCCCCCAATCGCTACCCTTTGAATTTACCACAAATTATGCTCATATTAGTCGTTTTGCCTACAAAATAGCCACTACACTTTACCATAAATCCCCCAAAGTGCTTTGAGACATCCTCCCCATGTGAAAGGTGTTATAACAAATGCAAGGATTATTATTATTAGATTTAAAGTCACTTGAAGAAAAACAACACTTGGGAGCATGCCGTAAAGTTGACAAGATACCTTATCAGGTTGATCCAGCTGCACATCCTCTAGGTCCTCTGTAATATATTCCATTACTTTTATGTGACCTCTTTGGGCAGCGCAGTGCAGTAAATTTAAGCCATTCTTGATCCAGACAAGAAGAGAATCAAGTTAGCTAAAATGCACTACAATATAGTTATACAATACACTACATAAAACTCATATTAACTTACTGTAACAGTTCTCAATATGGTACAGTTGTTAACAAAGATAAAAATGGTTCCCCTCCCACATTTATGATCTATTAGCTCTTCCTGCTCCTACCTTTTTAAGCACTTATTAGAAATAAAATTTCATATGCATTTTACACCATGGATTCGGGAGCAGGTACTCACTTTATTTTTACACGTTAGCTTTGCTCCTATGTTCACCAGGATTTGGAGTATTCGTAGATGACCAAACCAAGATGCCAGAAGGACAGCGTTCATACCAAACTGCAGAAGAACATATTACAACATGTCAAACACAAGGAAATGTAACATGCAATGCTGACAACTTGGTTCAACTGAACAGCGTGTGTCACCAACTATCCACATTGAAGGTAAATGTTTATTCAGAAGTATATCATGTAGAGTTAGACAGAGAAAGTCATAATGACAAAGAGCTAGACAATTAGAGAGATTTGGAATGGCAAAGAAATGTAGATTGTCATAGTGTTACTACAGAGACTTCCTGATGGAACATTTCTTTGGTTAGTAGTAACGACAATTTTTATTTTCAGTGGTGACTAATTTTCTGCTGTGATCGGCAATGGGCCCTGTCTGAATTAATGCAGACAACCAACTTTCTACTGCAAACACACATTTCCAACTCACTGTATTAAGTTAGCTGACAGATATCAGCTAATTTTTAATTGGAGCCACACAACTACTCAGTAACTACAAGTATATTTATTCAATGCAAACCAATGTGATATCTGCTTTATTTTAATTTATATACCATTAGGTTTCATGTCTATTTTCCAAGTTATATTAAATGCACAAATTGACGGTAACACCCCAGAGTTCTCAAATTAACATGAGTTTTGAACAAATCCAATAATTACAATTATTTATATTATAAATAATAATATTTAACATTATAATTAATTATAATTAGTTACAAGGTGCTCCCCATATAGAAGAAAATGATGAAGTTCTGAAAGAGATTATATTTTGAGCGGAAATGTTCATATTTCAAGGATGAGCAAACCCACCTCCCACTGCACCCTGACCTCTCTGATGGTGTTACATAAATGCAAGGTATATAGATCTTCGAGATTCTCTATTTAACTTAAATGGGATGGTCCCTTTAGAAAGCCCAAGGAGCAGATATACAGCAAATTATATTTATATAGGAGGACATCTTAAAGCACTTCATACTGCTGTCTGGTACAGTGCAAGAAAATACCAGAGTATTGCTGTATACTGTATACTCACTGGAATACTTTTGGAAGTGCTTTTAAAATCCTGACTTTTTATAATAATAATAATCTTTGAATTTGATATGAAGCTTTTCACGCCTTCTCATCTTATGTTCTTAAATACATTCTATAATTTTCTGCTCTGGATTAGAGAACTCCTTTCCCTTTGATCTTAAATACACAACACAAGTTTGCGTACAATACTCTTACATCTCAATCCACTGAATGTCAGGAGCAGTCAAAAAGTAAACATTCCGTGTCTGATTTTATAAAAGACCTACATTGTCCTTATCATCCACTGAAACATCATATTCCAGAAGTAATCTGAGTGCTTGTTCATGTCCAGCGCCTGCTGCCCAATGCAGAGCTGTTCTGTCTATCTGGAGAAAATAACATTGAAGGAAGATTAGTTAGTTGCAAGAAATTACAAGGTGATCATCACAGAGATTTCTGTATCCCGAAGCAAAAATGACAATCCGAGGAGCAATGGCAAAAGTACAGAGATAGTCAGTGACTATGCAACACAATATGTGAAGCTGCGATCCGAAGCAAAACACTATCAGAATGAGAAGACAGATCAGCAGCTTAGAAGCGGATGAATATTTTGGCTCGCTACCGTGTTAAAGGCTAAGATGAAAAACAATAGCATGCAGCATTCCATCTTTAGAAGTTCAAATTTTGGAGCTATGAAATCTCTCAGGAGGGAACCAGAGTGGGAGCCAGAGTAAGAACATAATAGAGCTTGGAATTACTTTAACCCTCAGAGTACCACAAACAAGTCCGCTCTCCAGGTTTGTTACTGTGAACTCTGTCAGAACACCTGCTCAAATAAAGTTTAACATGAAGAGAGAAAGAGTGAATTTGTACTTTCCCTGCACCTCATCACATTGAAATATCTCCACATAGTTTACAATAGTTACAGAACACCACGGAAATGCATGGAATGTGAAAAGGCCATTCAACCCATTAAAAGAATCAGCTACACTGTTTGTGGCTTCAACCCAGCATATCTTTCTGGTCGAGGAGATTTATTGAACAGATGTTTCCTGAGCTTCACAAATAATCAAATGACTACAGAATATGCCCCATCATCAAAACTATTCAATACATTTCGCAAATAGTCATCCTATGTAACCTTTTCATTGAAGATTGGATGCAGAATTTGTCATGTACAAAAGGTGTTATACAAGTCAGTTTGCTAATTGATGTGAATAATGCATCAAGTAGTTTAATCTGTCCAGAATCTCCTCATTTGCACTGACAATTCAGTGTATATCCAGACCACTTCTTGATGTTCAGAACAGGAATATCCAGAAATCACAAAGAAGCACATCTCTTACCCATTTAGAATTTTTTTTTACATTTGGTCAACAAGCATTAGGAATGTGATGTCTTTATCACTCAGAATACAGTATGAACTTTAGATACACAACTCCATATGCATCAAAGTTCTGACTGGAGAGAAGTGAATGGCAGAGCTCCACATCGAACTGGTCTGGATTACCTGCTGTTTACACGGCTCACATAAGCAACTTGAAAGAGTGTGTGTAATAAGTACCACTTGTAATATTATATAGTTTGCTGTTAATGTGCTATGTGGATCCAGCTGCCAAATGTGAGGGAGTTCAACAGCATTCAAACCACTCTACTCAGCCAATTAAGCAGATGAACTTTAGATGAATGTAAAGTTGCGTGTATTGCACAAGAAACAGCTTATGTGTACGAATGGAAGCTGCAGTATGATTTCTCCAGCACTGTCAGCAAAGGGGAGAAAGAATTTGGTGCAAATGTTGATTACTTTCTGAATGTTTCTGGTCTCATAAAGTGGTTGCCAACGGTGAGAACATATTTAAATAATGTTTGAAGTTTTGAGCACCCAAAAGTACACTGATGTGTCGAGAGAAGAGAAACCAGCATGACTCTAAGCTTAGAGCTTAAAGCTGTGCAGAGACTCACAGTTGAATTGTTTTTGCGACATGGTTTAGGCCTTTGAAATGCCAGGAAGCTTCTTCTGTCGAGCTCTCTTGATCTGGCTGCAGAATCGCTGAACACCAAGTGTTCCTGACACTTATTTTCTTTTGTTTTCTCTCACATTTCTCAAAGAGCTTCACAGGTAATTGTTGGTAATTTAAGCATTACAAGATGTTACCCTATGTGGAAGGCACTATATAAAGCCTTGTTGTTGTCAAGTTTATTTACTATGTATTTGGACGCAGATACAGCAGCTAATCTTGTACACAGCAATACCCCGCACAATAATAATAATAATCCTTGCATTTGGCATAGCACCTTATCATGTCTTCGAGACTACTCAAAGCGCTTCACCGAATGCACTGTAAAGTGAATTGACTGTGAATTTTGTGGACGAGATACGGCAGCCAATTAAAGAATTTGTAGATGTAAAAAGCTAATCTTGCAAACAAACACATACACAGACATAGAATTAAACCCTTCCCTTCCCTTTTGCATGAGTCAGAAACCCAGCAGACCAAAAGCATTTTAAATCCCAGTAATTTAGCAATAATAATAATGATTTTTGCATTTGATATTTGAGGGATGCGCACAGCGGCGGCCCTCAAATATCAATGAAATGAAATTTTGAATACTTGTGAGATGTTTCCAGTGCCAATTGACTGCCACAATTATAGTCACTACATTTAACATCAATTATCTATGACACACTCTGAGACCTTTCAATGTTCACTGTATCAAATGCAAGAATCTTTATTATTATTGCTAAATTACTGGGATTTAAAATGTTTTTGGTCTGCTGGGTTTCTGACTCATGCAGAAGGGAAGGGTTTAATTCTATGTCTGTGTATGTGTTTGTTTGCAAGATTAGCTTCATACATCTACAAAAGGTGTACCACAATATCACTTGGGAAGCAGGGTAGGAACAAATATTTTACCTACATTATTCTTGGCGTTTTTATTCACTCCTTTCTTTAACAGCTCTTCCATTTTAGCCACATCATTTGCCTTGGCTGCATCATGGAACTCCTTCTCTGATCGAAGTACTTAAGAAAAAGTTATGTAAAAATTAATAAATGTTTACAAGTAACCTTAGTGTTGTGTCTGACCTGGTGGACAATAAAATCCCACGGCACTATTGGGAAAAGGTGAGGGGAGTTTCTTCCAGTGTCCCGACCAACAATCCTGCAGATAAAATTCGGCATGGCTGTTTGTAAGACATTGCTTTGTTGTTTGCTACCTGTATGCAACATGCTATGTAAAGGCAAGTTGTCGTTGTTGTTACAATCTAAGAACAGTTACACAGAATCCAGACTGGAATCACACACCGATTTTTCTTAAAAACAATTTTTTTTAATTGTTTAAAAAATTGTTTTAAAAAAAACTACAGTGTCTGGATTTTTTTTTAGAAAAGGTCAAACCCAACCGGTCAATAGATATTAGTCAACCTTGCCAGACAACATTCCACATTATCGGCAAATTGTTGCTTGTGCTGGATTCATGGTCACCTACAAATATGCAGTAAATCCTGTGAAGAGCTTTGAGACATCCTCATCCGTGCAAAGATTCTTATCATAAATGTAAAAAAAATTATTGATTATAAAAGTGTGTCTTCAGTGTGTCAAGACCGGCAAAAACATCCCAAACAGTTACACCTTCAAATGTACCTGAAGTTTGAGACCAACCCTGTGATGACACACCTTTGGTAACAGCTAAGGAATTTCAAATTCTTTACTTTTGTTGTGGAACACTAATCCAGTAGATGTCCAGGATTTCCTGACCCAATGTCTACTTTTAAGATGCGGTGGGGGTGGGGGGGGGGGGAGCAGTGTCAGAAAGAGAGGCAGGTAAATATTCTGTTTTTCAAAGTAAAGCATTCACCCACATTTTGTCTTTTAAAGTGTTCTCGAACATTTTGCTTATTACCAGATGTAAACTAACTGGTCTCTTATTCCCTGAAGAAATACGTACATTGAGTTTTCAATGCTCAATACATTGAGATTACAATTACTGTTCTCTGTTGTTTAGCTACAGTCCCTGGATTTGAAATGCTGTGCACTGTCCAGCGCCTTGGGACGTCCTCCTGATGTGAAAGGTGCTATTGCAAATGTAATCTTGTTGTTGTTGTTGGATTAGCTACAGCTCCTGTTTATGTGGAGTCCTGTAGCTCAGTGGTTAGAGCACTCGCTTTGCAAGCGAGAGACCTGAGTTCAATTCCAGGCAGAGGGCGAAACCTTGGGCAAGTTTCCTTACGCCACACAGAGCCTAATAATAATCCCTCCAAAAACAAAAACAATAATAAATTGGTCATTTTCAATCTACGACTGTTTACAGTATATTCTGTGAAGCGCTTTGGGACGTCGAGAATACGTGAAAAGCGCTATATCAAATGCAAGAATTATTATCATCTTATGTGGGTTCTCGGATTTTCTAACTAACACGGTCAGTCTTTAGCTTTTGAAACATGTCCCACAATGGATAAAAATGGATAGATTAGGGGAGTTGGGCTGAAAGGTGGTAAATTATATTTATTATTCTGTGAAAAAGCCTGAGGGGGGGGGGGGGGGTGCGAACGTTGCAATTGGCCCCTTGATAGAAGCTGCGTTTTGTGTCTAAACATTTGCACTTAAAATATTCATGAGGTCGGGCATTCAAAACGTACTGAAAGAACCATTTTCTCACTCTTTCGGGTTTTAGTGTCTTGCAAGAAAAAAAAACACCACCCACGCCCTTGAAATTGTCCCTTTTGTAATTTCACCCCCAAAAGCAGTTTGCAAATAACCGGGTGTGTGAGGCTGAGGCTTTATTCTGACACTGAGATGTTTCAGAGTGCACTGAGTGACCAGAAGCCACAGACACTTCCAGATGTGCGCGTCGCAGCCTCTCGTTCGGTGCGTAATTAGCGCAGAAACTGTTCCGATAAATGTCATCGGATAACGAACCACCCAACGCAATCCCTGAGCCTGAATTAAAGTGGAAGGGGGTTATAAGCTTTTTCCCAGCACAAACCCCCCCCATCCCCAGCGCAGCCGTGTGTATGTCCCCTGTGTTTATACCCTACACAAATGCTCCTCCATCCTCTAAACCCTTCCTCCCTCCCCACCAAACCCACCAGCACCAGCATCAACGCGCACTGACTCTCTGGCCATCGACACAGGCTGCAAAGGAGAGATGGGTACCTACATATGTCGTCTTCTGAGACGAGATCATCCTCCATGGTGGCGAGGGATGCGGGTCAGACCGATCGGTGCGCGATTCCAGTGTTTCTCTTCCCAGACTGTATCCACATATCCGGGATCAGCATCACCAGCTCCGCCTCTGACTGTCTGTCTGTCTGTCTTGTCTGTCTGGATGCAAACCCCCCCCTCCCCCCCATGTCTATTGTTTGGGATATCATTTGAAAATGTTAAAGGATTGATTTCAATATGCAGTAATATTAATAACGATAATAGTAATAATCCTTGCATTCGATACAGCGCCTTATCACACCCTCAAGTCTCCTCAAAGCGCTTCACGGGAATATACCGTGAAGTAGATTGACCGTGTATTGTGTGGGTGAAACGTGGCAGCCAATCGCGAGATTTATCATGCTATCGTCAAATATAGTCACTACACTTTATAGCAAACCATGAGAAGCGCTTTGAGGTGTCTTTCTGATATGAAAGAGTGCTTTATTGATTACCAGTACTTGTTTTATTAAGCCCCCCCACCTCATAATACATCAGAATCCAACTTCCAGCCAGATGTTGCAACGGTATATGCGAGTAGGTTTGCGATGTGGTCCCATGGTATTTCCATGTGTAGGTGGGATGCATGGAATTCTCGGTTTGGTTTGGATACTCTTAAGCACGGTGATGGGTCTGCATGTGTCAAACTCCTGGCTAACCAAAGGAAAATGTGATCCCACACCTTTGATTCCCAGTGTTGAGTAACCATCCAAAATGTACACGATTTCCACTCTGTTACCTCTGCTTACAGGAAGGGATGTTAACTATCAAGTTGTATGCATCGGTTTTTTTTTCCAGGTCAGGGGTATTATTTTTAGTGCTTTTGTGATGAAATTCCAAAACAATCTATATTTTAGAATATTGTACATCTAGGAAAGCTGGTAGTAGCTCTAAGAAGGGAGATTAGGAGGAACTTTACACAGAAGGTGGGTGATGAGATTCAGCAACTCACTGTCAGACGCTATAGTTGAAGCAAAAAACCATTGATATATGTAAGCTGCATATATGAGAGAGAAGGGTATAAAAGGGTCTACGAGACGGCATTAGGAGGGGTTGAGGCTCGTCTACAGGGACTGATTGCACTGATTCTGTTTAGAATCAATTTATGTAGTGTTTACATTATAATAATCAACTTAAGATTCCCCAACATGTTAAATCTGAGACATGAAGAATGACCATTCGTGTAATGTATCATAGGGAGACCATTGCTTGTGGTGACGTACCCCTAATCTGAGATAAAAGGAGTAAAACTACCTACAGGAAAAAAGAGGAAAGTAAACTTACTTCACTCAGGAATCCAGGGCCATTGAAAATAAGATTCCCATTGCATGCTTGGGAGTCTCAGAGCTCAAAAAAGCCAACCTTTCCCCCATTGAAGTGTTTTACCTGTTCATTGTTTCTGAAAAACCTACTCACTCACTCAGCAACCTATACTTCAATAATTACAAGCTCATGTTCTGACTTGTTTAGACTATTGAAAACTTTGCAAATTAAGGATTGCATGAACATTTCTTGAATATGAAAGATTAGATGTGGTCTCAATTAATGGTCTCAAATGGCAAACTAGAAAGCCTTTAACTGCAATCACAAGGACCCTGGTACCTGAAACCTCTTATCCCAGTAGTAAAGCTAATCATTCCAGATTCAATTGTTTGTACACTTGCCAACTTTGTGCTGAAATTATGGGTGAACCACACTACAGTTGGAGGCCAGGCTAATAGTTAGAATCTTGAATGAGCTCAATGGACGTCATCTGAATATCAATGCTGTCTAGACTTGGATGTTTCTCTGCTCAGTTGGATAACTGGGAAACACCCAATTGAGGCTGGGTGTTTACCTGTTAGTGATTGACGTTTTTAAAACAATAAAGGGATTTGATAGGGTAGATACAAATAAATTATTTCCTCTGGTGGGAGGATCCAGGATTGTGGAGTACTGTAGCTCAACGGTTAGAGCTCTCGCCTTGCAAATGAAACACCTGGGTTCAATTCCAGGCAGGGCGAAACCTTGGGCAAGTTTCCTTACTCCACACCTAATAATAATAATAATCCCTCCAAAACAAAAAAATTATAAATCGGTCATTTTCAATCCACGACTGTTTGTGGGACACTGCTGTGCGCAATTGGCTGCTGTGTTTCGCCTACAGATATACAATCAATTCACTTTACAGCATATTCTGTGAAGCGCCTTGAGACGACTAGAAGACGTGAAAAGTGCTATATCAAATGCAAGGATTATTATTATCCAGAACAAGGAGGTATAATTTTAAAATTAGAGCTAGGCCAGTTATGAGTGAAAATTAGGTAGTTTTTCACTCAAAGCATAGTGGAAATCTAGAACTCTCACCCCCAAAAAAGCTGTGCATACTGGATCCATTCATATCTTCAAGACTGAGGTGGATAGATATTTGTTAGGTCAGGGTATTAAGGGATTCGGGGAAAGGGCGGGTGATTGGACTTGATGTACAGATCAGCCATGATCTTATAGAATGGTGGAACAGGCTAGACGGGTGGAATAGCCTTGTCCTGTTTCTATGTTTCTAACGTGTCTGGGTATTCAGCAACAAAATGCCCCCAGGAAAGAAAAGCGGTGAGTAATGGGGAGTGGCAGCCTTAGAAAGGAAGGGGGTGGCACACCCAGGGCAGAGAGAGTGCAGGCCAAATGATGGTGGGGAGCCATGGGGATAGGTAGGCATGGCAAAGGAGAGGAGAAGAGCTACTGGGAACAATAACTGTCAAAGGAAGTATAGGGGGTCCTGTGGGTTTAAAGACTGAACAACCATAACAGGGTGAAATTGAGAACCAATTGGATTCATAACGAGGCCTTCTTTAAACCCTTCAAAAAATTCTCTTAAATCTCACTTTTTAGTTTTATTTTTGTAGGGTGTGCCTTTTGATTTTTTGACATCCTTTTAGATTGTGGGGGTGGAATGCTGTGTAAATTATGAGAGTGGGCACACCTGACAAAAAAAGGTCTAATTTTTTTTCCTCTACCAGTTCCATTAATCCCAGATACGGAGAAATGCAGATTGATTGAGAATGATGTAGAACACAACATTAAATGCATTGTAGAACGTGTGCAAATTGGCTGTTGTGTTCACCCTCAAAATACAGTCACGACTTTACAGTCAATCATGTGAAATGCATTAAAGCATCCTCCTGATGTGAAAAATGCTATATCAAAGAAAGGATTTATTATTATTGCCAAGGTACTGATGGTATGGCAACTGGAGGCTTCTGCATATTGGATTCATCACTTTTCTCCTCTGTTTGTCAACTTTCTGCTTCAGTGTTGTAATTCTCCACTTCTGACTTTTGGTGGTGCTATATCTATAGTTGGAAATATAATTCAGAGTATTCACCATAGTTGAGAAATGTAATTACAAAGACATTTTTCAGCGAAGAGAAAGAAAGAACTGAAATTGAAATTAAACAGTAAAGATTTGAGTTTAATTTTTGTGATCTCTATCACTCCAGATACTTGCAAGAAACTATTGCCTTCCCTGAGGAAGTCATTCTGATGTCTAGATCAGCCAGTTTATGCAGGCACTTAGATTAGTAACTGTTTAAGATTTTTTTTGACCCTTGCATTCAACGAAAAGCAAAACTACTGCAGGAAAAAAAATGTGGAACAGTATACAAACATTCATTTCCATTACATAAGACATTATGAATGTCATTAATCAAGAACTTTTCCATAACACATTTTTGGCACCAATAATAGTGTGAGCAGGCCATGAGGCTTTCCTCTGGGTTTTCATTTCAATTAAACATGAACATGCGGCAATATAATCTTAATGTTCATGCTATAGATTTTATAATATTTGATTCAATTCATGAATTGGCATTAAAGCTACACACAGTACAGCGTTCTTATTGCACTGAGGACAGTTGCTTTGTTGGAGGTACCATACTTCGGATGAGATCAAGATGAAGATGATTTCCAATTTGTCCCCTCAGGTAGATGCTTTTTTTAAAAAAAATCCTGCAGTTCTGTATCGAAGAAAAGAAGAAAGTTCTCTTGTTTTCTTGCCAATATTCTTCCTTCATTCAAGCAAGTACACCAAACCCAGTCTAAATTTGGTCATTCATCTCATCGCTTGTTATGGGACATTGCTGGTTCAGATCAGCTGCTATGTTTGCTTATTTAACATTCATTACATTTCCAAAAAGTAACTCATTGTATAAAGCACTTTGGAATGTTGCAACAAGAACAGACTATATGAAAATGCGATGGTTAGTGAACAATATAACAGTTTTCTTAATTTGTGTCTAACATTTTCTGGGTATGAAGAATTAGAGGTTTTTTGATACAAACAGTGAATTTTTAAACAATGTTGCCACCAATATATGTGAGAATGAAGAATCATGCTTTGCGATGGTTTTAAGAAGCAACACAATATTAATAATAATAATCCTTGCATTTGATATAGTAACTTATCACGTCATTGAGACGTCTTAAAGTGCTTCAGGAAACATATTGTAACATGAATTGACTGTGTATTTTGTAGGTGAAATGTGGCAACAAATTGCGCAAGTGTCCCAAAAACAGTCATGGATTAAGTGACCACATTTTTAGGGAGTGGGCTTATTACTCCAGGAAAACATTCTGCAAATCGACTAACAACCGGGTTCCTACTTACTGCTAGGTAAACAGAGGAGTGTGGAGTAACGAAATACGCCTGAAGTTTTAACCAGATGGGAATCGAACCCAGGTCCTCTCGCTTGCAAGGCAAGCTTGATAACCATTATGCTATGGGACTCCAATGATGAAGAACAAACTCAATGTTACTGCTTGGTTATTAAGTTGCATCTAATAGGATTATTCAGTTTTCCATGGTCTTGATTTTTTTTGCTAAAGGCTTGTGGTTATAATGCATCCCTTGGAATACTTTGGATTACTTCAGAAACCACTGTGTGTAACTATCCATGTATACAGCAACACTGTTCAGAATTAGTCAAAGGGTCCATTCAGTGTATTTCTTTCCCTAGGCCTGCACAGAACCAGATTGTGTTAAGAGAAAACAGTTACAGGTGAAGTC